TGAAGTTAGGAAATGATTAAAAAAAGACGCTGATGTTTACAGGCAGAAAAGCACCATCATAACCAGCACAGTAATTCTGAAAAGTTATCTGCATTTGAAATTCAAGCCGGCAAATTTAATGTAGTGCATTAATTTACTAAAGAATGGGGGGTGGGGACGTTGGTTTTTGCAACAGAATATCCTCAAGAAAATGTACATACAGAAGTCTCGCTACATGGAGGTTCTTAGGAAATTCTACGATGTTTCATTAATTAATTGTGTTGGTAACTTATAGTGTGCTGTGTAATTACCAGGCATTTAATTTAATAATGCTTGTCTGATTTCCCCTAGTATTCTGATATTAAAAAGTGAAACATTAATTCTGGAAAGCCTCCTTTAAAAATACAAAAATGCCTTTGCAGAGTTCTTTTGAAACTTTAGCAATCGACACTAACGTAAAGGAAGCATAATATTGTACAAAATTCTCAGCAGGCGGAATATTCCAACAGTGGGGAGAGGTGATGGCACATACCTGGCTTTCTGCTTTTGGTGTTGCTATGACTTACTGGGAGGAAAAGGGGCAAGGTAGGGGCGCAGTGCAAACACCAGCAGGGGGCACTGGATTGGCTCTGCCAGTGCATTTGCACCATGCTGAACCTCACTGGTGATGGAAAATCAAGTAAACACTGCTGTCCCTTCCTGCTGACCAGGGACCTGCATCGAAACTATGGTTTTATTCTAAGGGATACAGACAGTCAGACTGGCTCATACTTTCATCTAGGGTGTGAATGTCCAACAATGCAGGAGTTTGGGGAAATGGTTGCTGATTACTACCAGAATTTTCTCCAGATTACTCTACTGCAGGTAACTCCCAAAGCTATGCTTCCTCAACATTTTGAACCTAATGACCATGGATTCCTGCATATACCTTCTTAAGCAATCACATACATACATATAGCACGTATTCTAAAGTATCCAAACAATCATCTAAATGCCAGTGGCTGAATAAAATCTGGGAGACATATGTACAAACTTAATCAATGAGGAATCCTGGTTTCTAAAGAGATATTATGGTACCATGGTTTCCGTTTGTTTTCTATATGCAAGCCCTTCAAACTCCTAATCAGATTTCAATAAAATACAAATGCCCATCTTATGCTGATACACATGTCATATACAACTTATATATAAACACCCTATGGTGTTTGTGGGAGGGGGTTTATTGGTTTGTTTTTATTATGCGTTTTGTGTTCTTGCTTTGTATTTTTTATGTTGTGAACCACACTGTGATCTTCAGATGAAGGATGGCATACCAATTAAATTAATAATAATATAGTTAGTGAGCTAGTTCTCCCAAAGCACAATATAATAAGGATTGTAATCAGTGAGTTTCTTAATTCCTTTAGTAACCTTGCTGTGTTGTGCATGTATAGAGTTGAGTTTGAGTTTCTTTTTAACTCTGTTTCAAAATAAAATTACATTAAAGTCACACACACACACACACACACACACACTTTTAAGAAATGATATTGTTCGTATATGTTTCTTTTTTCAAGCCACAGCAAAGGCCAGGATCCAAACATCTACTTTTCACGTCTGGTGGTGTTTAAAAACAACAACACCTCAGAGTTTCAAAAACGGTTTGCCACAAATTATGGTGGAGCTGCTTTTCAGCAAGCAGAAGACTGCATGGCCCTTGTATGTGCAGAACCAGTTCTCAGAATCCTGCTCAAAGTTAAAAACAACAATTCATTTTAACAAACTTGGTGAGCCACGAATTAGGGACACCGAAAAGCTCTTCAGGAATAAAAATTCAGTCAACAGCCTATAAAAAAAACACCTTTAGAATTATAAAATTTAAAAAGTTCATCACCCTAGCATTTTGGAAAGATGCTTAGGTGCCTGCCTTGGTTGAATGATTAGATCAGTTTCTCTACAATATGAACGAAGTGGATCCAAACAAAACAAACTACTTCATGTTTCAAATGCCACAGGCTCCCACAATCTCAGAAGGCTCTGGAAAGCATTTTGCTTGTCTATCAACTGAGAATTTACTAAAGCCTATTTCAGATTTGTATGTGGCTCTTCATTCGGTGAGCTGAGGTTGGCTTATGTGATGTTGATCCCATTTTATCCTCACAACCCCATGAGGCAAGTTAGGCTGAGAGAGTGCAGCTTCTTGACAGAGCTGGTTGTGTTCCTGATCCAAAGCTCACACCCTGTCCACGACACGATACGGAACCACACGGTCTGTGATACACAACCATGTGACGGAAACAATTTGAACACTTCCCTGCTTCCTCAGTTTTCTGCTTTTGCATAGGTGTGTGGGAAAATCCTCCCTGTTGCTTGGCAGCAACGGAAGTCATCAACATGCGTTCTGTGGGAAGTCATCACTTGGTCAGCTGCATTTGCTTATTATATTTATTGATTGATTGATTGAAATCAAACCTTTATTAGGCATTATGCAAATAAAACCATAAAAGAGAAAATAACATATAAAAGCCTTGAAATATATATAAAAAGGCAGCAGTTGGCTACATACATATATATATATATACATATAAAATCAGTGGTTTTCCTTGTTAACCTGCTCCTTGGAGGACTGCTACCAAAAACTCGGCTACCCCCGCCGTTACCCTTTGGTCAACGTCGGATAGGCAGAGTCCCACACATTCACCTTGCTGGGGTTCCAGACCACCCAAAAGAGGGGACAGCACGCGTTGACGGAGCGTACTGTACAATGGGCAATGAAAGAGAATATGCTCTACAGTGTCCGGGACATTCATAGAGCATCTGCAGAATCTCTTGTTTCTAGGAATGTTTTGATATCTTCCCCAGACAAATGCTGAGGGAAAAACATTCAACCGGGCCAGCATAAAAGCCCTACGTTGGGCTGGGATAATTAATTTAGTGACGTAATTGGCTCTGCTATCTAAGATATTTAAATCATAGAATATGGGGGAGCAAATTTTGTTTACAGCTGCCATAATATTTTGTCTCTCGACATCCTTTAGTCTAGTTAGGATATTATGGAAAATGTATTGCTCATTAGAATTATACAGGGGCTCCAGCTCGATGCCTAAAGATTCAATCTTTTTTTCGAGGTACTGATACCATCTTGATTTATAGGAGTCTTTGAGCAAATCAGCGAGCAGACTTGATGGAGGGCAGCGAAAATGGCAGCGTAACCAGTACTTTATTGAGGTGGACCAGGCCCAGTATTCCATTGTGTGTATGCCTATTTCTGCACACATTGTTTCATATTTGATCACAGCTGGCAGTCCAAGAATACGTCTCAGAAAGCTGGAGTGAATCTTTTTTAAATCACTGTTATATGCTTGGACCCATAGCGGGATTCCATAGAATGTCTGGGCTTGCACTTTTGTTTGAAATATCTGATTAGCCGCAGGAATAAATTGATTACCTTTCTGATAATAAAAACGGGCAACTGCTGATGAGGTGCACTTTGCCTGTTTTATGGCATTTGTGCGATGATTTGCCCACCCTAAATTGCTCTGGAATAAGATTCCCAGATACCTATAGATTTTCACTTGTTGGATTTCTTGCCCTCTTATTTTCCATTTCTCTAATTTCCAACCATTCGAGAAGACCAAAATTTTTGTCTTCTCATAATTTATAGAGAGTTTATTACATTCGCAGTAAAGGATCAGAGAAGATATAAGACGTTTCAGACCCAAGCTCGTTAATGATAGTAGGACTGCATCGTCTGCGTATAATAAGAGAGGAACTGGTTTCTGATTAAGTTTAGGGGCATGTGATTCTATTTTTTGAAGGTGATCTGGCAAGTCTGATAAAAATAAATTAAATAGAAAGGGGGCAAGAATACACCCTTGTTTTACCCCTTTCGAGTTTGGGATGTCTGATGAAAGGTGACCTTTGGTGTTAAGTTTGACTTGACAGACATTGGAAGAGTATAGATTTTGTATTAGAATCAATAAGCGCTGATCAATTTTTAATTCTGCGAGTTTCCTCCACAGCTTTGGGCGGTCAATTGAGTCGAATGCACCACGGAAATCTACAAAAGCAGCATATATCTTAGATTGCCTTTGGGATCTGTATTTTTCAACCAAATGCATAAGTATAATTTTTATATTTATATTTATAATTTTATATTTATATTTATATTTATATTTATAACTTTATTCAGGTGCCTAAGTCAGATCAACTGGGGAATCTGCCTTCACGTGTCAACGACAAACATTAATAAAATGTGCAAGTGAAAAACAACAACTAGCCAAGTGCCATGGAAAATCCACTGGTCTGGTTGTGAAAAGGTGCCTTATAAATAGTTAAGTTAAATAAATAAAATAGCTACAAAATATATGTAGGCCGAATCAGTGCTTTTTCCCCTTAAAAAATGTTTAGGGGTACTCTCATTTTGGCTGCTCCCTCTCTCCTCGCATCCTTCCTCCCCCCCCCAAACCCTGGACGAGGGACCCGAGGTGGCGGCGCTGAGAGGACGGGAAGACCCCCAGCAGCAGTGGGGTCGGCTTGAGCGAGTAGGGGCAAGCGCTCGCCGGCTTGAGCGAGGAGGAGCAGCGCCAGCACCTCCACTACGGCCACCCCAGACTCCCCTCCCCAGGCACCAGCGGGGAGAATGACAGAGCTCCAGTCCGCGCTGCTACTGCGGAGACAGCTGGCATATCGGTCCGTCGGTTGGGGCAACGCAAAATGTTTAGGGGTATGTGTACCCGCTGCGTACCCCCAGAAAGAAAGCAGTGGGTCTAATTCTGATGACAGGGAATCTGTTTCAGTGCGGCTTATGCTTTTTGCCATTTGCATGAGAACCATTGTATGCATGTGCCAACACCTATAATAAGCATTACGTCTGTTAATAGCCCAGCTTCTTTCTTTTCTTTTCTTTTTGGCCTTTTTATCTTTAATAATTGAAAATAACCAATCTTCCCCTTAAAATAAAAGTATGACATTTTAAAATTTTATCTAGTATTATCTAAAAAGTCCTGAAAAAAATTTATTCCTGGGTAATATTGTATATATTTATGTGCTTGTGTACATAATATATACATACACAGACACTTTTTAAAATTTTAGTCAGTTTTAACACAATTTGTATAAACAATCAATCTGATCACATCGTAAACATAAGAATCTCACTTTCCTGCAGTTTCCTTGAATCCTTTAACCCAATTATACATTTTGCCTAAGGATCCCACCAGTGCATTAATTGTTTTTACTACAAAGTACCAGTAGAGATAATTTTTCAGAACAGTGCATATTTAGAACATAGATTCATAAGCATAATTGAAAAATGCATGCTGCACTGACACTAAAAACTTTTCTACTGCACCGGTTTTCAGTCTTTGGCACAATAAACAGAGATTTGATTGATACGAGAATGAAGGTCTGAAAAATTAGACACATTAGTCAAACTTTTCCAATGTGGATATATATAGTGTGATTTTTCTCTCTGGCTGAACCTAGATAAACCAGCAAGCTGCACTAGGTTTCTTTGTACAAAGCTGTGTGCCCAATTAATAGCCCAGCTTCTGACAGAACAGTTCTAGATGCGGTAGCGACAGCATTTTTTGGAAGGATGCTACAGTGCCCTGATCACCATGGGTCACGGTTGGGCCTCCGAGTTTATCTGCACGCTGGTTCCCTCTCCCTCTTTTCACAGCAGCAGAAACAGCAGGGTTGGGGCTGGGATGGGGAAAAGCAGAGGAAGGGATGGGTGGAAAAGAGGAAACTGGCGAGAGCAGTGGAGGGAGCAAGACTGGGCCTGATCAAAAGAGTCTGTGGACCTGCTGATTAGACCTAGAGGCCTCTCCACTTGTTTATTTTTTGGTGAACAAGTCAAGATCATAAAACACATTTTGATCTTGGCTTGTTTGAACTAACTCTGAGCAGTTTGGGTTTGGCTGTATCAGGAAGCAAGTGCTTCTGATCTTCAGACAGCTATGCCAAGAGAAGAGAGAAAGGAGGAGAATGCAAGGCTGAGGATTGTGCAGAGTTATTTGTTGTTTAGCATTACGTTCCAAAAAAATAATGTTAATTTTTTTTAGCTTCAGCTTCAAACTGTAGCAATCAGGGCTACCAAGAGGATTGGCAGGTCCCTGAGCAAACATGCGAAAGGAATATTAGAACTTCCGTGCTGAATCAGATCAAATATCTATCTAGTCAAATATTCTGTTTCCAGCCTTGATCGTGCAGAAGCTCCCAGAAAGCTCAAAAGCAGAGCATCCCCTATTGCCTGCCCCCAAACATCTGGCACGCTGTTATTAGAAGTCTGCAGCCTCTGCACACTTAGGTCTCATTCTGAGTGATCATTCATTACTAGTAGCCTCCGAGAAACCGAACCCTCATGAATTTATCTAATGACTTTCAGGAGGCATCTATGTTCATGTTTAATAAAGCAGCTACGTTAATGTGTTAATTGTGCTCTATGAAGAAATATCTCCCTGTGTTTGGCGTGGGCCTACTGCCAATCCGTTTTATTGCGTTCTTGTGTTCTGGGAGGCTCTCACAAGTTCATAAACATGCATTGGTGTTGCCCTCTGTTTTGAGTGCTATTCCATGGTCACCCTACCATATTGTCTTCTGGCTAGTTCATATCCTCAGACAAATTAGCCACATGGGCGCCAGCACATGGGTACACTTTTAGCAATTATTACATTAATTATGTTGTATACTTAGTTAGCCAGCAACTAGTCTTTCCTTTTCAGCTCCTTAGACCCCCTGAAGTCTAATGCATGGTTAAGACCATTGAAGAGCAAAGTGCAGGATCTTCTCCTCACTTAACTCTCATGTCAGCCTTAAAAACTATTTGTGATAGCTGTCATTTACATTGATTATATCAACTAATCTTACAAGCTAGTTTACAAATGCATTTGTATCAACTCATTTTTTGATAACTCACAGCCAAACATTGGACCTGCTTTGAGTGAAAAGGAGTGATCAAATTATGGGGAGAGGGGGGACCCTTAATGAAATCCACAGGCCCCTGCCCCATGTAAATCATGCCCACCTATGCATTTGAAAAAGAAGAGCACTGCCAACTGAGCACCGGTGAAAAGGAATCAATACAGCTTTTCCCAATGCTGGGTCCCCAGGTATGAATGGACTACAAATCCCATTATCCCTGGCCATCAGCCATGCTGGTGGACATGATGGGGGTTGTAGTTCAGCAACATCTGGGGACTTGAGGTTGGAGAAACCTGGGTTAAGAGCTGGGTTAAGAGTTCTCAGTTTTTCAAGGGGAGATTATAAGGGTCGCAACATCTAATTCTGAGAGGTATGAGCTCATTTGTATATGTTACTCTTGCCAAGTCAATGTATCTGGCTGCAAAAATTTGCCCCAACGTATAGTATGAACCAGCCACAAGTATTATATTGCGGCAGGGGGACGGGACATGTTGCTTCAGTATCGCTATCAATATGGAGTACATGAAATATATAATTTCTTCATACTGTTTCCTGGCTTTCTCTTATCTCCAAGAATTTCATGGCTTATCAAAAAGTTACTGCATGTTAAAATGGAAAAAGGACGTGTTTGAAGTGAGGGAGCCCAAATCCACATTTCTCCATCAGGCACAATGTTGAAATGCAGAAAGAATAATGACAAAGAGAGAAGAATTAGGAGAAATGTTACTTTAGCAGGTTGAAAGGAGTAACTGTATCAACTTCCTTGATGATGGAGAAATGCGTGGAAACTTAAAAAATGAGTGTTTAAGCGTCAAAATCAGGCTGAAGTGAATTGGCTTATGTGGCTGGAAATAAACAGGGAATTGAACAAGCTGGAATCACTCCAAATCACCTCAGAATTTATCAGCCAGATATATCAGGCACCCAGAGGCAGCAAAGTGGAGTGGAGGGAGGTCAAGTGACTCATAGCGATAGCCACTGTGCCTTCCAGAATCCTATTAGCAACTCAGTGTAATATCTTATTTTCCAACAAAAGGATAGTAAATGTCAAGTTAAAACCATGGACTAAGTTTTGAAACCCTACCACAAAAAGGATACCTGGGCACATAGTTATATATGTTTCATATTGACTGTTTCCCCCTCTCTATGTATACAACCCAAAGGTAATTTTGAGTACCAGTAACATCACTACTGAGGGAATTCGGTTGCGCTCTGGGGTTAGAGAAACACAGTAGAAGCATGAAGATACAGTTCCTTTCAGCTTACTTTTATGGGAGATGGTCTCAGCTGTGACAAAAACTCTGCCATCCAGGTGAGAGGCAAGCTCACAAACAAAAAAAGCAGAACATCCTGAGTGACACAAACGACAAAGACTTCTCCCGAAGAAGCATAGTCAGTGAAAACAGAAAGGGACAGGAAGTACACGTGAAACTCTTGGAAGAGAGCAGCCACTTCTTCCAGAGGACCTACCATTGGCTTGAGCTCCCTGCCTTCGGCTCCAACTCCCCTGCCAGCTTCCTTCATTGCTTTTCTGCTGTTCTCCACAAATTCCTGAAAGACGGTAAGGAAAAGGTCCTCCATCATGACTCATGATCATAGAAAATCATTCTTCACTTGGGGGGTTGGGGCCCAATACTGAGCCTTATCTAAGATGGGTCACAATAGCAGCGCTGCTGCCAACCTATCGGCTCGAAAGCATGCCAGTGCGAGTAGATAAATAGGTAAAGGTAAACTGTGTTTCCGTGCACTCTGGCTTCTGTCACGGTGTCCCGTTGCACCAGAAGCAGTTTAGTCATGCTGGCCACATGACCCGGAAAGCTGTCTGCGGACAAATGCTGGCTCCTTCGGCCTGAAAGCGAGAGGAGCCCTGCACCCCATAGTCGCCTTTGACTGGACTTAACCGTCCAGGGCTCTTTTACCTTTACCCTTTTACTACTGCCATGTAAGCAGATGATAAAATATTTAAGAAATGGTTCCCCCAAATACATGTTTGGGTAGGATCTGAAATGGTTGAAGACTACAGTCTTTGGAACACTGGAGAAGATGGTGGAGAGAATTTTCCTCCCTTGATTTGTCATCCATGCTTTTAAAGAGCTGCCAGGAGGTATGATAGGTACTTGGTTATTTTCCCCTGTGTTCAGATAGGGAAAACCAGTCCCTGTCAGCCAGACCACAGAACTACCACCCACTGTCCTACGGTTTTCGTGACCTCTTCCCAGTGCCAGCTGGGTTGCTTGGGCAAGAGGTGCACTCCTGATATGCTTGTATTCAGATTCCTTGTATTCAGAAGCGCACCACATTCTGAAGAACTTACCATAAGAACTTTATCCATGTAGAACTCCTTCCCAGGGCTGCCATCATTATACTTGGTGTCAATGGCAAAACATAAGAAGAGGACGTCCACGACCATTTCATAAATGGATAGGAAGCAGTGAGCGACTAAGAATGCAAACAGGCAGACAATGATGAGCGGCAGCACCCACACCGTGTAGTCCCGTTGGTAGTTCAGCAGCATGATCCCTGCCAGGCCCGTGCAGCACACTATTAGAACCTGAAGAGCAGACAGAGAGCAAACACAGTTGATGAGGAATATCACAAGCTTCTCGGTGTTGCCAAGCCTCCACTTAAACCACATCTGGAGAAGAGAGGGAGATACAGAAACCCCTCTGCAGGGGCAATTGTGGTCCTTTGCCTTTCTAGAATGGGTGGTGAGATACTGCACACACATGTCATAAAATACAGTGGTGCCCCGCAAGACGAATGCCTCGCAAGATGAAAAACTCGCTAGACGAAAGGGTTTTCCGTTTTTTGAGTCGTTCCACAAGACAAATTTCCCTATGGGCTTGCTTCGCAAGACGAAACGTCTTGCGAGTTCTTGCGAGTTTGTTTCCTTTTTCTTAAAGCCGCTAAGCCGTTAATAGCCGCTAATCCGCTAAGCCGCTAATAGCCGTGCTTCGCAAGACGAAAAAACCGCAAGACGAAGAGACTCGCGGAACGGATTAATTTCGTCTTGCGAGGCACCACTGTATGTATGAAACACACATGGAGATTCATTATTTACCATATTTTTCGCTCCATAAGGTGCACCGGACCACAAGGCACACCTAGTTTTTAGAGGGGAAAATCAAGGGGAAAAAAGCCTGTCGGCTTCTCCCAGAGCTTCTTCTTGGCTTCTGCCATAGCCGCGTGCAGCCTCCCCCGACTGGAGAGGTTGCGCGCGGCTAAAGAGGAAGCCAAGACAGCGAGCGGGATGGATCGCGCTTCCTGTATTGGCTTCTTTAGCCGTGCGCAGCCCCATCGGCTGGGAGAGGCTGCGCACGGCTATGGAAATTCCCCCACCTCCCGCAAAAGCCCACAAGAGCCGCGCACTCCTTAAAGGGTGCACGGCTCCTGCGGGCTTTTCTATGAGGAGGGAGAAGGGACTGACTGGCCGCATCAGTCCCTTCTCCCTCCTGGAGAAAAGCCCGCAAGAGCCGCGCGGAGCTTGTGTGCGGCTCTTGGGGGCTTTTCCTGCCTGCCTCCCCCCTGCATTCGCTCCATAAGGCGCACACACACTTCCCTTTACTTTTTAGGAGGAAAAAAGTGCGTCTTATGGAGTGAAAAATACGGTAATTTCAAAACATTTCACAAATACACACACCGAGGGGTAGCTGAAGTTGTCTATTAACTCATACCTATTCTAGAGAACCTATTCTATTCAAGAAAGCATACTGTGTTCATTTGGGTAAAAAAATGGGTCTGCATGTGTGGCAAGTATCTCAAGATGACGACTACGCTGCTCTCTGAATCATTAGATTCCTCCAATCTCTTTTCTCACTTGTAGAAGGAAAGTGCTCCTTCTCCCTAAGAATCATTAGTACACATTTTTGAAAAGTAATGGAAAGCATTTCAAAGTTTCTTTCAGAAGCATTTCCCCAAGAAATACATGTTCGTTTCATAAAAATTTATTTTCAGTGCATTTCCCGGCACAAATCTTGTTTTTTTAATGATAACTTTGTGCACAAATGGATCGTTGCATCTTACTTCAATCTGTATCTTTGCTTAAGTTGAAAAGCAGAGCTCGTCTGGCATGGGTGGCAGTGTTTCACTGACATTAACGGAGAGTGTTTTGCAGAGCTAATGTCAGCATTTCCCATTGTTCTTTTATTTTCAGCCATCTGAAAAACGTGTTCTTCCTGCCTCGAGGGAGACCTTCATGGTACATGTCAAATCCATTCTAAGCAAACCTCACTGTGCACTCCAGTCCCCCTAAGGCCATTATATCTAATTATGCGCTCACTCCTACCGCGACTTATTGATTTGTTTATTTGGGGGATTACAAAGTCTCCGCTTGGAAGTTGGGTTGGTTGCAGTATGAATTAATGCACAAAGAGCAAGAGGGAAGGAATTCATAAGCAGGACCCTAATGCCATGAGGTGGCGGTAGACATATTTGTCTTTGAAGACTGGTGCAAAGAGCACTGCAGTCAAAGAAAACGTGCTTTGAAACAGGAGGGGAAAAAACGGTTTGTTCGTGGGTTACCTAGCAGCAAAAGTTAAGATCAAAACTGAACCATCTGGGACTTCAGAAAGAGACGTCTTGGAGTCAAGGGCCAAATCATAAGCTTTCAAATATTTAGAAAAATAAAAGCTCCTTTTTGCTCCTCAAATTGGATAATGTCTGCATTCCTATAGTCATTTATCCTGGCTAGTTCCTCCTAGCTACATCCATTGAAATGGTCAGATTGGCTCATCCTTTGGTTTATCTTCCAAGAGGAAAGTGAAAGCATAAGAACAGTAGCTGGGTTGGGCGAATGCCATGATTCTGCAAAAGTACAGGATGTGGTCTCAGGTGAAGAATTCAGCTTCCTAAGAATCTCAGTCTGCAATTAACTGCCCACCCCCCGTCAGAATTATCAGAATTTCTTCCTCCCACTTTGGGCTCGACTGAGCAACTGCATGGTGTTTCTCTTTCTGGATTTTAATTGTTTGATTGGTGATGATTTGTTTCACTGTTGTTTGTTGTTAACCACCTTGAATATTACTCTGGTAGGCAAGAGGGAAAGGAGAACTCTGCTTACAAGCAATCCCCAGTGTTACCCTCTGGGCACAGAGTACACACTGCCCAGCAGTGTGCAAGAGAAAGAGAACTTCCATTTTTCGCACAGCCCTACCTTTCCTAGAAAGAGCATGAAGTCTCCCACTGTGTTTATGGCAGCCACTCGCAGAGCGTTCTCCACTAGTATCACAAAGGCATCCTTTGCTGAGGTGCAGAAGTTGGTGCTGTTGATAGCTGTGGCTGTATATGCATTCTGGGGAAAGAGAGGCAGAATGCCATTTGGTTAGGTTTTCTTCCATTCAAACTCCCCGACATCTAAGACCTTCGTAGACATTAACGTGAGTTTTTGACGGATACAACCCTTCACTTAGTCACCATCATAGCAAACAGTGAAGGTCTGTGCAAGATCTGATGAACAGACCAAAAAGATAATCTAGATAAACTGGGGAGGGGGGGTTATTATCTGGCCCTTCCTGCACATAGAACAGGACGCAACATGCCAGGTTCACCATTAAACTGTCCATTAAACACCCACCCACCTCCATGCTTCTATCAAAGGAAACTTGTGTATGATAAAGTTTGTCCACTGCAATTCATTGTGGGTGTCCTGCAAATGAGGACAATCCGCAAATGCTCACTTTCTAAAATGCCCGGTGTTTTAAGATTTTCACTCTTATTGCAAGGCGTACACACTGTAATAGACCCATATTTAACCGTTGCACAAAATGTGCTTTAGCTCATAGGCAACAGTTCCATGATGGTTTCTGCTCCAAAACATTAGACTTGTTCTTCTTTACAGCAAGGGAACCTCTGAGAGACTACAACGCACTTTGATTTCAGCAGAGATTCTTGAAGTCCGTAACTGCATTCAAACGTTAACATACCATTCAGCATCTTTCAGTTTAGAGCCGATTGCTAGAAGGTTGAAGTTAAACTTTCCAGCTTTTGAAAAGGAATGCCAGGGAAATAAAAAATAATTCTTACCTGATTTAGGTAAGTCAGGCACTTTTCTAAACACCAAAGGCAGCAAATGCAGGCTTTCAACATACATCTAGCGCAGGCATTTTCCTAAGATGGGGAGAACAGCAACAACAAAACGGAAATAATAATCAGAGAAAATATTTAATTGCATTAAGTGTTAGGGCGTGGGTTGGTATCTAAATGGTAAGTAGTTTCATATACAAGTCTCAATTTACACATATGCTTCCTCTGTAATTGCTCCTGTACAGTGGTGCCTCGCAAGACGAAAATAATCCATTCCGCGAGTCTCTTCGTCTAGCAGTTTTTTCGTCTTGCGAAGCAACCCTATTAGCGGATTAGCAGATTAGCGGCTATTAGCGGCTTAGCGGCTAAAAGGCTATTAGCAGCTTAGAAAAAGGGAGGGGAGCGAAAAAAATTGCAAGACTCGCAAGACGTTTTCGTCTTGCGAAGCAAGCCCATAGGGAAATTCGTCTTGCGAAGCGCATCGAAAAACGGAAAACCCTTTCGTCTAGCGGGTTTTTCGTCTTGCGAGGCATTCGTCTTGCGGGGCACCACTGTAATTGGTGGTCACATAAGACCAAGTCAAACATGCAAAAAAACCTTCTTTTTCCCGCCATGAGGGAGAGAAATCATGTGGAAGATGGAATCAGGCAAAGAAACTTAAGTGTAATCCAGGTAGTACACGGAGACGTTAACCGCTATTTCCACAGTTGCAGTGACAAAAGTTATTCCTGCAATTGTGGAAATGGCCCTCTCTGTGTCTAGCCTGGTTCACGCTGAGACACCATCACTCCAGAGGAAGAATTGTGCAGTGGAAAAAGTGGTTGGTGGTCATGCCTGAATCAACCCACAGATCATACGGGACAAGCTTTGGGGCCCACCCTCCTCATTATCTAGACTCTTGTAGTGGCCAAGAATCTCACCATCCACTTTCCTGTATAAAGTCATGAAGAAAGCTTGCCAAAAGCTCTCAAAAGCCTGGCTTCATTTCTTTATCCACAACCTGAAAATTCTGCCGTGTTGACAAGAACATTGAGATCCCTCCTTTGTATCTGAAATGGCCAGCCACATCATACTGCGACACAGCCTTTATTTTTGACAACTGCTTTTTGAACAGGCTGAGCTTTAAATCATTACAGAAGTCTAAAAAGGTAGCACAAGAGTTTCTGCCAACATCTGGACCAGTGTTTCCCAAACCCGGGTCTCCAGCCGTTTTTGGACTGCAATTCCCATCATCCCTGATCACTGCTCCTGCTAGCTAGGGATGCTGGGAGTCCAAAAACAGCTGGAGACCTAAGTTTGGGAAACACTGATCTTGACTATTAAATTGTCCAAATGACATTCTAAAGATATATGTGCATTTTCTAAATGTGCATTTAGTTAAATAATAAAAAAACCAGGCCCCAACAGAATCTGTTTTTTGCCCCTTTTCTGCACTACCCCCAAATAGGTGTTTTTGCCACTTTTGCTTCAGGAAGGCTTGTTCTACTCATGAGAGAGAGAAGGCAACTCTCCTTTTTAATCCAGAGGTATATCTGGCTTGTCACTTTGGGGAGCAAAATGCTGAACTAGATCAGTTTTGGGGACCCAGCCGGGCTGTTCTTACGCTCTATTTACATTTTTCATCTGTCAGTTCCACCAATGGCCCACACTTCTATAGCAAAGTGTTCCCCTTACTTTTCCTTTGACTTGGGTATGAATATACATGAGTATCATTCGTGGAATCTTCACTAAGGTAATAATGAAGGACCCTTTAGCCACAGTTCCTAGGTGGTAACAGATCAAGCGATTGACAGACGCCAGAATAGGTGTGAATGGCAGATTCCGTTTTTCTCTGTAGAGAGAAATTAAAAAATACGAAAACAGTGACAACAGATAGCATCAGCAGACAGAAACAGGTAGCAACTCAGAGGCCAACTTGAGATGCGAAGGACCCTACATGGTAGTTCTGTAGTAAGTCTCAGCAATCATTAAGACCTCTGTCCATAAAGCCAAAACAAAGAGACTAAAGGGATTCTTGATTAAGAAGGCAGAACTATCTAGTAACGTGTCTTGTCTATTACAGCGTTAACTGATATCATGTGTTTTCTTGTTCAAACTAATTTTTTACCTATCGCATTATGGCAGCCCCTTGCTGGCTTTGAGATGGCTATGAAATTCTGCTTCATTAGCAGAAAATAAGATTTTGATTTCACACAGAACTGATCCGATCGTCTCCATATACTACGGCAGACAAAATGATGGCACCAATTTCGTAAAAGTATCAAAAGACACAAACCAAGCTAACCAGGATCTGAAACCAGGATTTTAGAGCCTGGTTAGTAAACTGAGATCAAACCACAGTTTCCCCATTCAGATGTAGCAGGAAACTGTGATTGAAATTATCCACAACAGAAGCACATCATTTATTAAGCTGAGATTTTCCATCTGGCTGTTAAAGGAGATCCAGGTGTGTCATGATCTTATTGAAGGAGTGAAATTGATTCAAAGAACTGATATGTGTGTTTAGCTATCTAGACCAAAACAATCAGAGTGTCAGGTTATACATATTATGGGGCTAAAATAAACCAACAGTTTAGATCAGTTTTTCCCAAACTTGGGTCTCCAGTTGTTGTTGGACCACAACTCCCATCATCCCTGACCACTGGTCCTGCTAGCTAGGGATGCTGGGAGGTGTAGTCTAAAAACAGCTGGAGACCCAAGTTTGGGAAACACTGGTTTAGATGAAAGACAAACCTATCCACTTCAAATTAAACCACTAGTACGCTTGGGTAAAAATCCTACAAACCGGACACTAGTTTTCACCTGTGCTTAAAACATCTCATGCGGTCTTTATCCTCTGCTCTGCCTCTTTGCTCCTCCTTTCAGACAGGACTGCAATTCATTTCTTAAAAACATAGCTTTAAGAGTTACGCAAGTATTCTCGATGAACACACACAAAAAGTCCCTGACAGAAATAGCAAAGAACATGCAACACTTGGGTTATTTACAAACAGGCCTGTAAATGAACAACGGCCGATTTCAAGAGAGAGAGAAGCTTAAGGCATGGGTAGGCAAAGTAAGACCCAGGGCTGGATCCGGCCCAATCACCTTCTAAATCTGGCCCGTGGATGGTCTGGGAATCAGCGTGCTTTTACATGAGTAGAATGTGCCCATTTATTTAAAATGCATCTCTGGGTTATTTGTGGGGCCTGCCTGGTGTTTTTACATTAGCAGAATGTGTGCTTTTGTTTAAAATGCATCTCTGGGTTATTTGTGGGGCATAGGAATTCGTTCATTCCCCCCCCCCAAAAAAATATAGTCCAGCTCCCCACAAGGTCTGAGGGACAGAGGACTGCCCCCTCCCCTGCTGAAAAAGCTTGCTGACCCCTGGCTTAAGGTATATAACAGAAATTAAACCATGCCAAGTCACCATGAGTAACCTGTTTCCTCAGGAGCCCAGGATGTAACTTTCATCCATTTTATTCACTTGGGGGTGGTCCACTTGCATGAGGAGCATAACATGAGAGAGACTGTCAGAAAGACAGCCAGAGACTGTGGAAGATGCCAGTGGACACATACTGTTCTCATAAAAACAAAAAAGCCCTCTCTGGTGACACCTGAAGATGTCTAAATTCACGAAGAGACTGGAAGGAGAGTCAATACCCTCATTTAGGGGAATACTTTCAATCTGCAAGCAGTGGTTTATTGGTTTTAGTGTGCTTCCAGCATTTTAAGCTGCTGTAAATGGAAATATTACATTGGTATAGTTCTTTCCTTTGAGTTTTACAAGCAAAGTGATTTATAATCATCATCATCATCTTTGGGTGCTTTAATAAATGTAACTTTTGATTTAGAGTTATATTTATAATATAAATAATATCACATTTAATAAATCCCCGCCTTCCAATACTGAATTTCATTCACGTTAGACAGGAAACTACTCCCTTAAACCTTAAAGGGAACAGTCTTCTGTCTAACTTAAATGAAATAATATGAAGAATGGTGATTCTTAACAAAATGCACCCTCTCTCATTTGAGACTTGTTTTGACAGGGGTCACGGGTCAGCAAACTTTTTCAGCAGAGGGCTGGTCCACTGTCCCTCAGACCTTTTGGGGGACGGACGGACTATATTTTGAAGAATAAAAAAATGAACGAATTCCTATGCCGCACAAATAACCCAGAGATGCATTTTAAATAAAAGCACACATTCTACTCATGTAAAAACATGCTGATTCCCGGACCAGCCACGGGCCGCATTGAGACGACAATTGGGCCGGATCCGGCCCCCGGGCCTTAGTTTGCCTACCCATGGCATAGGTCATACAGATCAGAACAGCGTAACTGCGGGGGGTGGGGGTGGGAACAGTGCTCTCTGTTGCTCATCTAACATACAATATATATTTTTTGTACTTAGCATTTTTTCATATTTAGCCTACAGGCCTCAGCAAACAAAGCACCACACCCAGCAGTATTGAACTTTGATCGCCTCTGATATAGTCACACACTAGTCATATGCTAAACAGCCACTGCAGATGTATCAGATCCAATATTGACCAAGGTGCTGTTTACACAGAAACTATGTCCTAGGTGAATAATTGAATAGACTGTATTGGAGCAAATGCATTTATAACAGATCAAAACCAGCCAAGCATATTACTGGAGGCTTTGCCTTCGAGTTTCATCTTCTCATTACACCATCTGCCCATGCCATGCTTACTTCTAAGGTTTTAGAGAACCAGCCTCTCGTGATTAAACTGCCCCGGAATCTCTCACCTTGTAAAATAATATGTCACAACGGCTCCTGCTACAGTCATCTGTTGACAGGCAAGGATGAATTCACTGATCCAAACTAACCCCACGACGTGATACCACCACATGTATCTCAGTGGGCCTGCAACTTGGAACTCTACAAAGCCCTGGTCGTTTTTGACAGGGCTACCTAGAAGCAGAAATAAAGAGCAAGGGAGAAAGGCATTCAAAATAGCCATTCCACAGCAATACAACATGTTTAATATCGGAACAAAAGAATTATGCTCATGGAGCAACTCCTCGCTTTATGAGGCAGAGGTATATTCTACAGGTATTTCAAAAATAAAATAAAAGCAAAAAAAACCACTGTCTTTCTGTCTTAAAAAAAAATAAAAATCCAGAGGTGGCAAACATATCTCAATTTTATTTTTTTTAAAAACAACACATTATGACAAATCAAGTAACTTATTAAGATTTGCTAAATTACACTTAAAGCAGCCAAGGTACAAACACTACATTATCCTATAAAAGGGGTCTGCAACCCGCGGCTCTGGAGCCGCATGTGGCTCTTTTACACCTTTGCCGCGGCTCCGGGGCGGATACTAGCGAGGGGAGGAGGCGCATTGTGCGCCCCAACACTCCCCACTGTGGCGGGTGCTGTACTGGCTGTGACGTTGCATGGGGGCGGTGCGTGCGTTAGTCAGCTGATGGTCTTGCAACCCCCAGTTTCACGGTGCTTGGTGTTCTGATTTCAAGCAGTTTCTGACTTCAAACTCTGTGTGCAAAAACACGCTGCCCACCTCTCAGATTTGGTCTGGGGGAGAGGTGAGGCAGATAGAAATCTGGCCTGCCAGCCAGAACCAGCTCCTCACCCCTGATTAGGCAGGTACGTATAAGAAGAGACAATCCTTCAGCTATTCAAGGAGTGCACTGTTCAGGGCCTTAAAAGCTAAAATCAGCACTCTAATTGGGCTAAGAAACAAATCAGCAAAGGGAGAAGAATTTTAAATATTGGTGAAACGCATTCACTATTGCAGGTCACAGAAAATAAAAGGGCCGTCATATTCAGGATTGGCTGGAGTTTTCAAATGCTTTTCCTGCAGACACAAAGCAGGAAAGTTCAGTGCCTGCCTTTAACATCCATGCGTACCTGCTGCGAAGCTACGGCTCAATGTGCTCATACATAAAGATCAGCCATGCTGCATTTAACAGTACTCATGCCTTGTTTTGTTTTCATTTATTTTAATGCAGACTCATTTACTTGGCTGAATTTCATTTGATTCAGTCAATAGAGAAGAGCGACACTAACACTTTCTGAGGTTACCAAAAAGAAGGAGAAAGGAATTATGAAATCGTGCGGGATTTACATACCTGTGGTACCTAGGAAGAGCAAGACCGCGATCCAATAGATCCAGAAGAGCATGAGGGCAAAAAACGTCCAAAATGGCTGGAAGACGAGTAGTGGCAGGTGAATGAAGACCTTGCCAGCCACGTGGAACAAGGCAATGGTGAGAGATACTCGCTTGCGCATAACTAACATTATCAACAGTAAGATAACCTGCAAAAGGAAGGAGACTTGTTTTAGTTGAATTTTACCTACTGCGACAAGACTCAAAAGTCTCACCCACAGCTCCGAAATGTAATTTTATATGTAATGTTCCTAGCCTTAGTCTTCATTACAAAATGTATGATGTCATCCTGACTTCATGAGCCACCTACTAACAATAATGGGTGCTGGGCATCGCAGCACATAACTGGTCAGAAAAACCTGAGCCTGCCCACCAACTGATGCAGCCCTTTTGCTGCCCACCAGTATTTCAAAAAGTGGTAACTTACTGAAGTGTGTATCTAACCAAGGATATTTCACTATACTTCCACTTCCTTACATTTCTGGTTTAAGAGCAAAGCTTACAGTCATACCTCGGGTTGAATGCGCTTCAGGTTGCGCTCCACGGCAAACCGGAAGTAACGGAGTGCGTTACTTCCGGGTTTCACCGCTTGCGCATGCGTGCAGACATGCTGTCGCTAGTTACGTTTGCTTCTAGATGCGAACAGGGCTCCGGAACGGATCCCGTTCGTATCCAGAGGTACCACTGTACATCACTATGCAGATGAACACTACCACTAGCTCCATATGTAAATTTAAGCATTTATTATTTTATATATCCCTCTCCTAGCCTCCAAACTCATCCTTCTCATGGTAAAAACAAAAGAAAAACCCTTCAGTACCACTGACACCTGTCCATCTCTCACTCACACACATAGAGAAAGAAAACAACAGCCATAATGTTGGTATAACTGCACTGCTGTCAATGGATTTCTATGGGCTGGTTCATATAAGATCTTAGTGCCAGTGGCGGAGGAAGCTGCTTGGGTGCCTGGGGCGGTGCGCCCATAGGGGCAGGGCGAGGCAAGCCTCTGGGGCCGCCAGAGTCTGCCTGCCTCCTCCCACTCAGCTGCCCTACAGCTGGGGGGGAGGCAGCGGGCAGACCATTTGGGCAGCGTGGAGCCTGCGTGCGCCCAAGCCACTCCGTCACTCCCAGGAGAGACATGTGGCTTGGGCATGCTGCAGGCCCCGCGGTGAGTGCTACCCGGCATTTTGTCACCCCCCCTTCAGTGGGGACACCCGGGGCGGCCCGCACCCCCCTTCCTCTGCCCCTGCTCAGTGCTTAGTTGCACATTTGGCAATATGCAGGAGCAAACCTTGGCTTTGTGCACTTTCCCCACCAAGTACAGAGCTCATAACGTGAATTGTGAGAAAGGGGCACATGGGTGACATGAGAGGGACATATGCACTACGGGTTGCATCAACTAATTTTTACTCAGAAAAGATCCATTGAAATGAATGCATCTTTGTTGGTCGTGTCCGTTAATTTTCATTAATTCCAGAATCTCAGTATGACTGATATTGGATACAACCCAATCTCCTAATTGATGTGGCAGGTTCCAGGCCCTGTGGGAGGCAGCATACAAGCCTGCCTGCCTTCTTCCCTCACAGAAAACCTACCTGATATTCCACAACGTACAAGGGTTGCTTCACTTTTTCCTACAGGGACTAGGGGGGAAGGCCCGTACCTGTGTACAGCATCGCACATATGAATTGCAAATGCTTACTGCATGAACGAGAAAGCTGTCATTTGCAGCCGTGAAGCTGAATACTTTGCTTCCTGCTCTGGCCTACACAGATATGCAGCGTGTGTCAAGGAGCCCTGACTCCACAGCTATTAAATACGTACCGTGAAGACTGTAGCTGCAATGGCATAGATCAGAAGGGCCTGACGATTGTCTTTGGCTATTTGAAGCTGATCAACTGTAAGAGTATCGCTAGGAGACTTCCGCTGCTTGGCGTACAACCACCACAATACTCCTGTACCACCTGTGCTCGCGAAGAAGAAGAAATTGTGCATTTCAGTTTCACAACATATGTGTAATAACGTATAAGGAGCACAATTAGCTTGGCCAGTTTCATCCTTTACCAGGCTAGACTCAGACTTAACTGATCTGCTGCAACATAAATGTCAGGACGGTGTGGCATTCTGATATCGCAAAAGACAACTGATCAAAGAGGGCTTGCTTTTTACAAGACATCTTACCACAGCTATGATGCTGTTCCATAATTAGAAGCTGAGGAGTTCCAGGCAAGAAAAAGGTTATACACAGGAATGATTAACTAAGACATTCAATAGGCTAGGATAGGATGATCGGCACGAACCAGAATCGCAACTGGCACCTCTCCCTGAAGCCTGCTCATAGATCTCTCCCTATTTCTTGAGGCCTTGCTTTGCATTCCACCTTCATCACTGGTGAGAACTAAGAGGGCTTTTTTTTTTAAGCTGGGATCAATGGAGCATCCATTTGCCCCCCCCCAATACATTTTTTACCTCAGCTGAACTTCTCAGTTCCCTTGGGTGGATGCTGTTTTCGCTGAAATGATAACTTGACAGGAGACAACCATCTTAACTGCTTAATGCTCTTTCAACTATTGTTTTCCCTGCTCCTTTGTATCCTGCTTTGAGCACATTCTGTTTGCCGGAAACTGAAACTCGGAATTCTATAAATAAATGCCCTCTTCTCCGATCTCCAAATCATCTTGCCCAAGGATCCTGCGGTGGGAAGGGTTATCTGCTTCCTCCTCCAACTGCTGGCTTGAAGAAAACTGCTGTTTGTGGGTGGCTTTTCACAAATGCCTCTTGCCAATATTGATGCAGCGCATCCATACAATTAGGGCAAAGACAGCCAAGAACACTCTTGTAATTTTATTGCTTTTTATCTTGTATCGCTTTATTTCCCTTGCCTGCTTCTTTTGCACTTTTCTATTCAGCCAAGTCACATTCCCTGAAATCATCAATGGGAGGTAATTGTGGAATGTAAATATTGCCAATGCTTTGTCCCTTTATTTTTCTTCCTAATAATTGGCCGCATCCTCATTCAGTCCCATAAATCCTTAAACCAAATGGATATTGCTCCCATGGGCATAGCTTTAATAGTGCAACAATGGCTGCAAATCAATTGTTTCTGAAGTAGAAGGTGAATGGCTTTAAAGGAAGCAAGAAGGACAAAGGGAAGCATCACTTCCCTACTGATCTCCTCCAGTGTCTCTCTTTAAAGGCAGGAAAATGAACTCCCATCTTTGCAATGCTCATAGAACAACCCAGGAGGACGTATGCGCCTGTTCTCAAGTCATGCTTCAACATTTGCCTGAGCAGACAAATGCCAATGTGTGGACAGAGGAAGGGGACATACACAAGCCCCACTTCAACAATGCCATTGTGTGCAACCCCCACCCTTGGCTCCGTCCCTGACCTTCCCAGCGTTGCACAGGCTTCACTTGAACACAAGTAAAGTCTTCCAGGTGATTAGGGACACTGCTTTATCAGGGATTCTGATCACTCCAAGGGGTTCTACTCGTATTCAAATGCATACAAGTAGAAGCTTGACGCAGTGATTTCCTGTGCAACATGGGAAGGGCAGGGGCTGGATGAGGTCCATGACAACGTTGGGAACGAGGCTTGCACGTGATCTGGATTCTGGCAGATAGTTACCCATAGCTAAGGGACCATTTGGATAGAGGGCGTCCAGCATAGGACCACACTAGTTAAAAAAAAGCCACACACAAACACATGGGATTTTCTAGATCAATTTCAATTGGGGTTTAGGCCCAGTTTTGGCACAGAAACTGCTTTGGTCGCCCTGCATTTGTTGGGAGAGAGACAGGGGAAATATGTCCTAGTTAATTCTCCTCGAACCCTTCGCGGCTTTCAGTACCATCAACCATAGTATCTGCCCGGAGAAGCTGTCTGAGTTGGGGGTAGGTGTCATCGCTTTCTGGTGCTTCCAGTCCTACTTGGGAGCTCAACAACCAGAGGGTGCTGCTTGCGGAGTACTTTTCAACCCCATGGAGCCTTCAATGTGGAGCTCCTCGGGGCTCAATTTGATCCCCTGTGTTATTTAACATCTATGTGAAACCACTGAGTGGGGCCATCCAGAGTTTTGGAGGACGTTGTCAGCAATATGACAATGGCACACAGCTCTACTTCTCCATTACGTCTGCAGGAGAGGCAGTGGATGTGCCTTGGTAATGGATTGGATGAGAGCCAAGAAACTGGAGCTCAATCCAGATAAGACTGAGGAGCTGTTAGTGGGTGGTTCCCTAGACCGGATGGATGGATGGGAGGTTGCCTGCTCTTGATGGGGTTACATTCTCTCTGAAGGAGTGGGTATGTAGCTTGGCAGTCCTCCTGGATCCTTTGCTGTCGCTTGAGGCTCAGCTGGTTCCTTCACTGCAAGAAGTGAGGTTACAGGGAACCAGAGAGAGGGCCTTCTTGGTAGTGGCGCCCGCCCTGTGGAACAGCCTTCCATCAGATGCCAAGGAAATAAACAACTATCTGTCTTTCAGAAAATATCTGAAGGCAGCCCTATAAAGGGAAGTTTTTAATGTCTGATGTCTTGCTGTGTTTTAATTTGTTGGAAGCCGCCCAGAGTGGCTAGGGCAACCCAATCATCATCATCAACATCATCATCATCAACCAGCTTCAGCAACTTACCAAGTGATCCCAGAACAACAAGAATTGTTAAAATCCAAACAAGTACTCTTGAAATGTATCTTATTATCACCATCATAATCATGGAAAGCACTGCAGAAAACAAAAGAAAATAAGAAGGGTAATTATTTAAAATGGAAACAGCAAAAACAAAAAGAGAGACTTTATTAATACAAATACAGTTGAATTCACTTTTTAACTGTTTGTACAAAAATGTACAAGATAAACTAGCTATCCTACTCAGTGTCTGATTTGCCAGTTAAACAAACCAACCCTATATGAACATTTACACATCATGGGACATATGTATTTAACAGAGAGATGCAGACACATACAATGACAGAACTAATGTTGACATGATAGAACTGCAACTTTATTATCATGAGTTGCAAAAATACCGCACAACTCATGTTGAGCACAACCCAAAAAGTTGCATGCAGACACACACATGCTCAAAAAGCACAATTATTATGACAAGTATGAATTAAGATGTCAAGATTGTGATAAGAACCACATGCTACTTTATGCTTGAGTTGTGTTTTTCAGGAGAGGTCATTAAATAAGATCTTTTCACTGTCAAACTTCTACTTGTCTAGCTCTTTGTTGATTTGGAACATGAAGGTCTTGTCTCTTGGCACTTAGTATCATAAGGCCATCATGGGCGAGTTTCTCCTACAAACTACACTGCCTTGGAAAAGCATGAAGAGCTTTAATGGCTTCCAGGCTGCGGGTATAATTTGGGAGGTGGCCACTGTTCCTGAAAGGAACCTGGTTGGTCATTCACATCAAACAAACAAAGTTTGTTTATGTGTGTGCAAATGTAAAAGTATACTATAGAGAAAGCCCAAAATTAGCAAGTATCCAAAAACACAGAAGAACAGGTGAATGCTGACAATCACTTAAATGTGACTCAGAACATACGCCAGTGAATACTGATATAATGGGGAAATGCCTATCTGTTTTCAGACATTTAGTAACTTCAACCGGGATTGTCAACATTCACACATGCATGCCAGCATTCACCGACATTTGGAATATTCATTGCTGCATGAAATGTGAAGGCTTTTAAGTAAAAATCAGCTACACTGACCGTAACTTGGCAACAATCATGCAAAATCAATTTAACTTAGTTACCAAGTTTCAGAGGTCTACATTTCCACTATTCCTCCCAAAGTGATGAGTTTAACATGCTGGTGCTTCACGGTTATTTTAATTGTCTATTAATCCTATTGTAACAGGCCTTGATATAATCAATAATCAATAACCAATGTAATCATTTCCTCCCCTGTGGGGGTATAGAATAGCTGGGCCAGTTTGGTTTCCATTTTTAATCAATGGAGTCTTCCATCGGCTTTTTCTATTCTATTCAGTCATCAGATTAGTATATGTTTAAACAGAAACTTTACTTTAGTATTAATAATTAGGAGCTGTAGGTGAAATTCTGCTTGCGTGACAGGATTTCTTCTTCTTTTACCTCTCTGGCAAGTCCTCCATCTGCTTCAGAGGGTCTCACAACTTTCTGAAGCAGATTTGAGGGGACTGCAGGTGGAATGAGAGGTCCTATTGCACAAACAGAAGTCTCATCTGCAGACAAATGGGCACCATTGGATACCATGCAATATGTTTTGGCAAAGGATTAACACTGGGATTGTTGTTGCTGGCTTCTGTCTGGGTTAATTCATACCAAAACTCCAATGTCACATAATAATGCAAATATTGTGTTTTTTTCTAACTCTGCACAAAATTAAGAAGAGGCTTTAGCTACGGCTGCAATCTTTAATCTATTTAATCGATTATTCAAGCAAGAAGTTGATCAATCACTGAAAGCCAATTTTAATTAAAACTGCACTGAATGTTCACCCTTGAAGATTTAAAGTTAAAGTGAAGTTTTATAGGGGAGGGAGAATCATTCTGCCCAAACCTGCTCTTTATTGCAGTCATTTCTCCTCTATTGCTGTTTCTGTGCCATTTTTTTAATTAAAAAAAAATTCTTTCTCCTTTGCTACATAATCTCAGCCAATTGACGATCATGTAAAATGATAACATCCTAGAGCCAATCAGATTTGACTACGGGGCGATGCCAAGGAAAGCAAAACTGTGCTGCCCTCATTCTAGAGCCAACCCAGCTGTACCCATGCCAGAATGTGCTTCAGAATGGCCATTCAAGTATGCTGCGTCTCATTGAGAGCAGGCAGAGAACATCTACACTTGGATGAACATCCCAGGACACATTCTGATGTGGATCTGGGTCTGTGCTCTCCTTTTGCTGCATTTATACGACTTCATTTGGACATTTCGAAGTGTTCTCTCAACTGTCACTGAGAAGGTTATTTTTTGAAGGGGGGCGTGTGTGTGCGTGCTCTGCTCTCATTTGAAAGAATCAGATAAAATTTTAATTCATGGGACTAGAACATAAGGTACATGTAACTCTTTTTTAGGGTTAGTTAGGTACTGTATTTTTCGCTCTATAAGACACACCAGACCACAAGACACACCTAGTTTTTGGAGGAGGAAAACAAGAAAAAAAATATTCTGAATCTCAGAAGCCAGAACAGCAAGAGGGATCGCTACGCAGTGAAAGCAGCAATCCCTCTTGCTGTTCTGGCTTCTGGGATAGCTGCGCAGCCTGCATTCGCTCCGTAAGACGCACACACATTTCCCCTCACTTTTTAGGAGGGGAAAAACTGAGTCTTATACAGCAAAAAATACGGTATGTTTCAGAAACAGAGAATAGGAGAGTTATGAAATATGGGCCTTTTCTTCCAAGAATGATTGACAGCCTTTGTTTATTAAAGTGCAAGCTCCACAATTCATGCAATCGTGATCAAAAAGGGCAGCTATACTAAAGCTACGATAATGTTCACATTTACTTAAATGATATTTTCATTGACTTCTTGTTTTGCTTTGCAAGATCTCTGAGGGAGCACCTTGCATGTGGTTCTCAGGTGAACTCCCACTGAACTGGGAGACTGATCAACTAAATAAAAAATAAAAATATCAGCCCTACTTTTAACCCAAGTCCCTGAAGATATTAAGGGTTAAGTATCAACATTCACTTAGCAATCTGAACCCAAAGCTTAAGCCCAAGGCTTATGAATACTGTACACTTGGGAGGTTGTTTTAAAGGAAAGCAGAGGGTTCAATGACAGTGACACAGAGCTGAGTCAAAATCCCCACATTAGTTACATATAAGGAGAGTCAAATGCACATACATGTTAAAAAAAAACATTTAATTCAGCTGCTGGGTAGGTAATATAATTTGGAATCGTCTGCTATAATAGCAAATACTGAACATGCTTTATTTCCACATTGTGGGGACAGAAGATGTTCACATTCTCCTGTTGCAGTACTGTAGAAATAGCTAAGAACGAGAAAAACAATTACCTAGTGATAACAAGCAAAGTCCCAATATAATCTCTCTGCAGGTCATTACTCCACTAATCAGCCTGTGCAAGACACTACTGTCACTGACAAAGGTGATCAGGGCCTCTGCAAACTTGGCATAGCAGGAAATGTTCACAGGAGCACAGCGATGGAAGAATGGAATAGGTGCACTGGTGATACAAGGAAAAAAAAAATCAGAAAAAAAAATTACTCCTAGGTAATATAAATGCCACATCAACACACAAATGGAAGGTGAACTGATGCCGTACACTCCACCCTCGTAAACATCTAACCAAGAGCTGCAAGGTTAACGGAAAGGTGCTGCTGTAAATGGAGATGACTGTAATGGGTCGTGATGCTGTTTTTAAAAACCAAGATATCCCCAGAAGAGGGTGGAGTGCACATTCTGATGTTTCCCGTCCCATCAACTCAGAACACAGAGCAAACCCCATCAGCCCCAAATACAATTTATTTTATTTTTTTAAAAAAATACACCACTAGTCCAATATGTCTAGATATAATTAATTATGTGTAACGTAGAAGTTTTTGAGACATTTCCAGAAAATATTCAGATTGCGGTGAGCCTCGGGCAGACGATTTCCTGTAACTCCCAGAAGTAAGGCTGCTCACCTTAGACTCTACAGAGACTGCAGCATGACATAAAGGCAGTTCAGGGCGTTTTACATGTATACATACCAGGGACCATGACAATTCCCCTGCGGGCAGCAGCTAATGTATTCTCCACCTACAGCACAGCATACATTACTGAATACTGCTCCGAAAGCTCTGTCGAAATTCAGCAGCAGGTTGGGGAAGGGAAAAATAGAGATAGGGCCGTGGGGGTTGGGAAGGGAGTCCTGGAAGTTCTCGGTGCACATGTAGATTATGGTTACCAGATTTTTTTCAATATATCCGGGGACACTATTCCCCCCCCCCCCAGCTGAGTAGCAACAGGGAGTCAGTAGTGGGTATGGTGAGGCAAAAGACCCTGGGCCCAAGCACACATGCATATTGTATAAAGGTGCAAAGCCCTTCTTTCGCACCCTGTGAAACATAAATGTGCAGAGATTTTTTAACAAACTGGGCAATGGCACGCCGCCTGCCTGTGACTCCCAAGCCTCCCCCGATCTCCTTCCCCCTTCCCCCTTTGTTTTGACAGATCAGGGGAGGTTCGGGAGTCATGGGTGGGTGGCCGTTGCCCAGGAAGGGCCAGCCTGGTAGTGCAGTTGGCTCTGGCTGGCTTCAGGAGCTGCTCGCTGCCGTGGCGCAGGAAAAATGGTGCGCGCCACGGCAGCAGGCAGCTCCTGAAGCCAGCCAGAGCCAACTGCGCTAACAGGCTGGCTCTGGGCTGCTGAGGCTGCCACTGCCATGTTTTCCAGAGACAGATTTACAAATTTGGGGTCATTCCGGGGACGGAATTTGCCCGGGGACAGATTTGCAAATCCGGGGACTGTCCCCAGGAACCGGAGACATCTGGTAACCCTAATGTAGATCTCTGTGTAAAACTCCTTAGATCAAAGTGGGCAACCTTTTAGCCCCTAAGGGCTATATGGGCACACAGGCGGTGCATGCCAGTGGTGTGCTCTGGGCATGCACGCCCACACACACTCCACATATCTCACACAAACATTATTCCCTCCACTCTTTCACAAACACCCTCCACACACCAGTGCGATATACCTAGAATTCCAAGCCTAATTCTGCAGCTACCAAGCCCAAAGTCTCAAACACAACGATTTGTTTTGCTTTATCCGTATCAAGGAGTCTGGTTAATGGCTGTTTCAACTCCGCTATAGTCAAGCAGGAGGGGAAATGCCTTCAAAAGCAGGGGTCTCAATGGCAATAGCCTCCCAGGGCAGAGAAGGGCAGATTTCCCTCCACCCCAGCACAGAACAAGACGTGTTCCTCCCAGCCTGTCAAACAGTTGTCTGGCAGGCTGAGAGGAGCATGATGTACATGTGCACCTTCTCAAGATTTATATGTTGATGTCCTGTGCTCTTCCTTCCCCCCCTTGCAATTGTACTCAGCTCAGCTTGGGCAACTGGCAGCACTCTTTACAGGGTGCTTGGGCCAGCTGCCTGGGAGGCCTGTGTTGGTCACATGAGACCTGCTGGTCACTGATTGATTTAGATCATGGGTAGGCAACCTAAGGCCCGGGGGCCGGATCCAGCCCAATAGCCTTCTAAATCCGGCCCGCGGATGGTTCGAGAATCAGCGTGTTTTTACATGAGTAGAATGTGCCCTTTTATTTAAAATGCATCTCCAGGTTATTTGTGGGGCCTGCCTGGTGTTTTTACATGAGTAGAATGTGTGCTTTTATTTAAAATGAATCTCTGGGTCATTTGTGGGGCATAGAAATTCGTTCATTTTTCTCTCTCTTCAAAATATAGTCCGCCCCCCCCCAAAAAGATCTGAGGGACAGTGGACCAGCCTCCTGCTGGAAAAGTTTGCTGACCCCGATTTAGATCCTGGTTTTAAGATTTCCACAGACGTTAGAACAAAAAGGTGTCCAAGAATTATAGCAAAATAGCATTGAGAAAGAACTGTGTTGGAATGCCAAACATAGCAGACCTTCCCTAAATATTTTATTTCAATGGTCAACTCTCCTATTTTGACATACCATAGCTAAATACCAATTTTGGTCCCAGTTTATAATATTATTCCATGTGCTGCAAAAGCATTGCTGAAGTCGTGCTTCGGCAGTGGTGCCAAAGTATCAACTTTTTGCTTTTGCAATTATATCCAAATCTCTACCGTAAAGAATGTTAGGAAAATCCCACATTTCAGTCATCAATATGTTGCATGGAATTAGGGCCTACGGAGAAAAGCACAACTTCCTGGCGTGTTAATGTTCCCATCAACCCCCATTCTTCCTACACAGAAAGCAGCATTGCTGCCACCAAAATATATACAGTGGTGCCTCGCAAGACGAAATTAATTCATTCCGCAAGTTTTGTCGTCTTGCGATTTTTCCGTCTTGCGAAGCACGGTTTCCCATAGGAATGCATTGAAAATCAATTAATGCGTTCCTATGGAAACCGACTTCAGACCAGGTCCGGGGACAGCCTGTCCCCCGACCTCTTCTGAAGGCTGGGGGGGGGGGGACCAAGGGCTTTTCTTCCCACCCCCAGCATTTTAAAAAACCCCGGGACAGCGGGGGACTTCTCCGCTGTCCGGGGCGATCTTAAAATGCTGGCGGGCGGGAGCGAAGCCTCCGCTGCCGCCCGCCAGCATTTTAAAAAGCCCCGGGACAGCGGGGGACTTCTCCGCTGTCCCAGGGTGATTTAAAAGCCCCCGGGAAGGCAGGCAGGGGGGACAAAGACTTTTGAAGGCAGGCGGGGGGGAGCATAGACTTTCGCCCCCCGCCCGCCTTCAGAAGAGGTCCTGGACCTCTTCTGAAGGCCGGCGGGGGGCGAAAGTCTTTGCTCCCCCCTGCCTGCCTTCCCGGGAGAGCGGAGAAACGCAGCGTGTTTCTCCGCTGTCCCAGACGGCTTTTGAAGGCAGGCGGGGGGGGGAGCATAGACTTTTGCCCCCCGCCCGCCTTCAGAAGAGGTCCAGGACCTCTTCTGAAGGCCGGTGGGGGGCAAAAGTCTTTGCTCCCCCCCGCCTGCCTTCAAAAGCCGTCCGGGATAGCGGAGAAACGAAGGCTGGCGGCGGGAGGAGGTCTCTCCGCCCGCCGCCAGCCTTCAGAGGAGGTCCGAGGACAGTGGGGAAGACGCGCTGCGCTTCCCCGCTGTCCCGGAGATTTCCCTATGGGCTTTCGTCTTGTGAAGGAAGCCCATAGGGAAATTCGTTTTGCGAAGCGCCTCCAAAACGGAAAACCCTTTCGTCTAGCGGGTTTTCCGTCTTGCGAGGCGTTCGTCTTGCGGGGCACCACTGTACCAGACTGTCAAACCTATTTTTATTTCCCTTTGCAAAGAGAGAAGCTTTCGCATTTCTATTTGCAAGACACTCGTGTTTCTAATTGGAATCAATGAACAGAACCACTCTTTCATATGCAAAGGGAGCTTTATTTAACCTCTAGGCTCTTCTGTCTCTGAATCAGTTCCTGCTGTCTTCCTTGCCAGGTTCAAGCAAGTTATGGCAAGCTGAGTATGCAATGCCTTTTGGGTCCTCGATGGGAAGTCTTTCAAAAAATGCTCACCCTTCGCTTCATGCAGGCAGAGTAGAATATGCTGCCTTCAACAAATCCCTTTCACGATTTATTACTTAATCACTCGCAAACATACTTAACACTCATTGTCTAATTATTATCCCCAAATTGAGAGGAAATTGCAACCTGCCACATCTAGAGAATTTTTAGAGCCTCCATTTCCACATAGCTGACAAGCAGTTCTAAAGTGTAAGCTCTCAAGCAAGCTGCGATGACTAAAGCGTAGTTTGTGCAGATGGAGTGCTAAAACTTCCTTGGCTTGTACAACTTCAGATTGCAAAGGCAAGCGAGGCCACAGAGGCAACAGCACACCTTCATGCTCCTCTAGGTAAAGGGACCCCTGACCATTAGGTCCAGCCGTGGCCGACTCTGGGGTTGCGACACTCATCTCGCTTTATTGGTCGAGGGAGCCGGGGTACAGCTTCCAGGTCATGTGGCCAGCATGACTAAGCCGCTTCTGACGAACCAGAGCAGCGCACAGAAACGCCGTTTACCTTCCCGCCAGAGCGGTACCTATTTATCTACTTGCACTTTGACGTGCTTTTGAACTGCTAGGTTGGCAGGAGCAGGGAACAAGAAACGGGAGATCACCCCGTCGCGGGGATTCGAACCGCTGACCTTCTGATCGGCAAGTCCTAGGCTCTGTGGTTTAACCCACAGCACCACCCGCGTCCCTGTTCATGCTCCTCTACTGAAGCCCTATTTAGGAGTTCATTTCCAAATGCCTGAAGGGGCCAGTGAGAACCTCACCCTTGTCTACATCATGTCTATCACCACCAACACCCTCCCCAGCAAAAATGCGATCACCTCAGCCTGAAGGGAGCTGTTCCAGGATGCATGGAGTTCCTGATGTTGTCCTGTGCATGATGAGGGGGAAGATATAAAATCCCTGAAGCTGTTTGTTTTGCAAAAAGCAATTCTAACCGTAAGTATTACGATTATGTAAGAGTCATTTCCCTTAATTCGGAATACTTTCTTACGAGACACCATACTTTCTAAAACTTTAGCTGTACAGTCAAATCTCGGAACCCGAAAGTAATCTGTTCCAGAAGACGGTTCTATTTCCAAAATGTTCGAGTTCCTGGGCGCGGCTTCCGATTGGTTGCAAGAGCTTCTTGCACTCAAGCGGAAGCTGCCTTGGACGTTCCAAGGAAAGTTTGAAAACCGGAACACTTACTTCCGGGTTTCTGGCGTTCGGGAACTGCAACGTTCGGCAACGGAGCCATTCGAGTTCTGAGGTTTGACTATATATAGAAAATATACACTTGAGGCAGGAGGACCCCAGTTTCTATGGAAGAAATCTTACCTAGCTCTCATACAACACTGGAGAAAAGCACTCAAATATATTGTGGCATTAGGTCCTGTCTATTAGTAACTGCTTCACCTGGATGCACCTGAGGAAGCGACCAGATAGTAGGCCTTGCTCTACTTGCTTGGCTATGAAACTAGCTGCATTTGGCTCTTCTCCTCTCTGAACTGTCATCTTTGGGCAGGGGGCCATTCCACCAGGCTACATATGAGAGAGAGAGGGAGAGAGAGAGGTGAGAGTGCTTCTGTTTGAGCTGGCTATCGCAAGAATGATTTGGGAACCTTAAGAACTGGGGTCTAGATTTACCTCTCTGTCCGCTTCTCCTTTATTAAAATGTGCTTGTTTCATTTTACAATATTTGCAGGACACCCTACAATAAAACGTTCAATGCGACTAAGAATGTAAAGCAGAACAATTAGGAAGCGAAAACCAAAACAAAAGCAATTAACAGGAAAGCAAATGTGTTCTGTCTGCTATATTGTCACGTTATGGGCTGGCATTATCTTGTTTTTTTATCTTTGACCAGCACTTAGGAAACTTTAGGTGTTAATAGCAGTAATAATAATAGTAGTAGTAGCAGTAATAATAATAATAATAATAATAATAATAATAATAATAATAATAATGTTATATCTATTATTACTATATATTACTATAAATATTATTACTATATATACTTATACTCTGCCTTTTTCCCTGACATGAGTCAATATAGCTTACAGATAAAAACAAGAATTGCCAAAATATAGGGGGGAAATCATTAAAAACAAGTGAGCATTAATAGAATTAAAAATATATAGATATATAAAATTTTAAAACATACACATAATTACAGCAGTAACAGCACTTGTTATTAAAATAATAAATGAATAACATAAAAATAAACATGAATAAACATTTTCATTACTTATGAATTCACAACTTGACTGAGAGAAAGGCACATGAGTTGAAACATTAGGTACCAAATTTTAGGTTTCTTCTCCACCCAAAATAAATGAAAATACTCACTGCTGAGAGCAAAGTTTTATTAAAGATAAAACTTATAAAACTTCGCTCATGTAGTGGGCAGTGTGAACAAATGCTCTTAAACGTGGTTTTGTTTTTCTATCTTTACAATGTGAACAGCAGATTCACAACTTCTGTTATCAGAGAATTACACAAATGTCAAAGATTTGCCACTAGCCAAGGCCCATGATGTGGAATAGTTTGTATGTGATTTGTATGTTGGTGCAATTTTACGAGGAAATAACTGTTTTCGAACCAGCATAGCATAGGTGAGCTCCTCCTCCTGAAACTTCCCTCTATTTTGAAAGCAGTCTGCTATGCAGCACTGGGCGGCTTGACTGTTGTTTGAGGAAGAGCAAGTGTAAAGCCACCTTGGCTTCACTGAAACCAGTTTCATGGTTGTTTAGGTACTAGCCATAACCCTTTGTTGGCAGGGCGGGCCTGACCCAGCATAAGGCAAAATGAAGCAGTTGCCTCAGGCGGCAGATACTGAGAAGCAGGGAGTGGACACAGATGCATGTGTTACACAGCCTGCTCCATGCCCTATACAGTGGTACCTCGGGTTACATACGCTTCAGGTTACATACGCTTCAGGTTACAGACTCCGCTAACCCGGAAATAGTACCTCAGGTTAAGAACTTTGCTTCAAGATGAGAACAGAAATTGTGCTCCGGCGGCACGGCAGCAGCGGGAGGCCCCATTAGCTAAAGTCGTGCTTCAGGTTGAGAACAGTTTCAGGTTAAGAACGGACCTCCGGAACAAATTAAGTACTTAACCCGAGGTACCACTGTATAAACTAGCCTGCTGTCCTCAGGTGCGGCAGAAGACAGTATTCTGGCCCCATTGTTAAAATAAGATTCAACTGGCAATCTGGCCGGCTTCTGTAAATGGCATAGGGGTAGGTGCCATCTTGTCCTTTGCCTCAGGCGGCAAAATCTCTTGATCCAGGACTACTCTTGCTCAGATACGGCCTTGTCCTCTGCAATCCCAAATTTACCATAGCTAGCCATTACTACACTGAACTCCCTTTTGCTGAAGCCAGGGATTATCTACTACCTGGTTTTATGTGTAGGAGACAAAATCTAACTTTGCTATAATGAATAAAAAATGAGGTCAGTGGTTACTACATGATGTCTTGGAATAAATGGGACTCTTGAGAATCCAGCGCATGAGACTAATTTCTATTTCAGGAGTTCTGACTCTGGTAGGTGTGAGATGTGCTGCCCCTTTTTTTAATAACGAACAGAATAATAAATTTATTCAAAGTGACCCTCTGTTCTTTTATTAATGGCTGTTGATTATATCCAGGGATATTACATGTCTTAATGGAATTGCAACTTCTCTCAAGTATAATCCTTCGTTTAATAATGTTCTGAGCTCTGTATGGGCGGGAGGCATTCTACATTAATAGACACACACACACACACACTTTCCAACACATGGATGCATGCATACATATTCAGACCTTCATTTTTACCATGGCATACAAGGTTTTTTGGGAAGGCAGAAGCTCCATAGAACATTAGCATCAAAAATGAGCCTGAAAAACAGAAAGAAGTCGAGGAGGGGGGAAATTCTCCCCCTCTGCCCATTTCACTTTTCAAAAGCTTCATATCTGGCCCCTTATTACACTGTTTTGCAGTTATTTCAGGGAAAATAGAATACAACCTATTGTTGTCACTTTTACTAATAACAGGTTTTCTTTAATCCAAATTATTGGATCAAATAAACCGCAACACAAACTACAGAACTGGTTAGGGCTGCCATAAGTTGGGGTTTTCCTGGACGCTTTACACTTAGGAATATGGGGAAAGAAAATGAAATTAATTTTTCTGAATTTAAAAATTAAAATTGAGTTTTGCAGATATCCTTCCCTAAAAGCTTTGTTTACTTTCTGTGCTGATGAGGGGCAAAGGCTTGAATACAAGAGAAGCGCTCGTAAATTCAAGCGATCCAACCATTTTAGAGATTTGGGGATCAGAATCAGTCAGAAATTAGCTGTTTGAATGTTCAGACCGAATAACCAGTTTTAATTTTTCATTAAGTGGCCTTCAGTTTCCTTCAGTTATGAGGCTATATGCTGATCAGACAAGCTCAATAAACTAAGAGCAGTGTCAAAGGTTGTTTCCAGATTAGATGTTAAACCGTGGGTACAAAGGGGATCCCTGCATAGCTATGCCTCTAGTTTTCCGCATTCTAGACTGAGAAACTCAGGAGCAGGATGTTAGGGGTCCAACAAAAACCAGCCAACAAACCAAGTGTCACTCAGTGAAATACAAGAGAAGACACAACAGTTCTGTCGCAATTGACAAAGAACCATTCTCATGCACGTGCATCGAACACACCCCTAAGCTGTTTATAGCAGAGCATCCTAAAAGCGCTAAACTCCTCCAAGTTCCAGGCTGAGCGGTGGCAGCGTTATCAATATAACACATTTCCCAATGTATTTTTAAATGCTGTCTTAACTTGTAAAGTGTATCAAATAAGAAACTGGTCCTTTTCCTTAGACAAGGGCGTTAAAGGGAACACCTATTAATATACCCTGCAGCTCCATGCTGAACTAGCAATAAGGTCGCTGAGTCATTTTATCCCGTATTAACAACAACAAAAGTTATGTTTTGACACAAGAATGAGACACAAAGCAGTCATTTCATTACCTCTCTGGAACTGGGAGCTTGGGGCAAAGCTTGGCAGCCCTTGGATCTGTAGTGTATTCAGATGGCTTTAGTTCATAACTACACAATGTGGAGCCTGTTTAAAGAAAAAAGAAAGGAAAAAAATGGAAAATATGACTTGAGGAGGAATGATCTACCACGTCCATTCATATTATAAGCATGAACAGCTTTAGCGGCAGGGAAGCTAGATCTACAAAATACCAATTTTTCAAAGATAAAGCCTCCCTCCCCCCCCCCACAAGCCTAGTTCTCCCCAAGAAAGAACTGGTGTAGTAGAACTGGTGTAGTAGTTTACACCTGCAACAGCTCCCCCCCCCCCGCCTCTACGAATAAAGAGAATCAGGATCTAACCCAATGGATCAAAAGATTATGGAACTCTCCATTCCGCTAGCTGAGTTTGAGCCCCATAGCTAGTGGAGATAAAGCAGCATGGTTCTCCTAAATAATGCCACCCTCTGTGAACTGAAGCAAGCCACCGAATACCATAGCTTTAAACTTGTATCAAGGGGTGACAAGTTATAAGCAGGAATGGCAGAAGGGCATTAAACATTCACGCCGCAGAGCTCACAGCAGATCAGATTTTTTTATCACTGTACATTTTAAGTGTGCTCCCTTTTATCAGCTGCAGAGCCCATGGGCCTACTGTGTCTATCTGGAGGCAGTTGCGTTTCTGCGTTGCAAGAAAGCCGCTGAAAAGGCTTCCCTGAGCAGCAAGGTCTCTGCGGGGAAGAAACGGAGATGGCACAATCTATTTGCACATTCAGAGCTTGTTGTCCTGGCAGTTCTCAAACTTTCGCATTTCCACTGAACTCTTTGGACTCTCCAGCAACCACTCAAGAGAAGTGGATTTCAAACTCCATGACCTTTTGGAAACCCGTTCTGTAGCTACCGTATTTTTTGCTCTATAAGACGCACTAGACCATAAGACGCACCTAATTTTTGGAAGAGGAAAACAAGAGAAAAAAAATCTGAATCTCAGAAGCCAGGACAGCTGCGCAGCGATCCTGCTGGCTGTCCTGGCTTCTTGCTTGGCCGCGTGCAGCCTCTCCCGGGCAGGGGATGAAGGCTCCCACTGTCCGGGAGAGGCTGCGCGCGGCTAAGGCTCCCCCAAGAGCCGCACTCCCTTTAAAGAGCTTTCGGATTGTGTGTGCGGCTCTTGGGGGCTTTTCCCCGAGGAGGGAGAAGGGCTGCCCTTCTCCCTCCTCGGGGAAAAGCCCCCAAGAGCCGCACACACGCGCCATGCAGCTCTTTAAAGGGAGTGCTGAGCAGAGCCTCCCGCCTGCATTCGTTCCATAAGATGCACACACATTTCCCCTTACTTTTTAGGAGGGGAAAAGTGCGTCTTATAGAGCAAAAAATACAGTATTTATCAGTGCAGGAACCACTACACCGAAACCCTGCACACTACAGGTGATTCTGACAGTGGCATAGTGTGGGGGTGGCCACAGGGGCAGTTGCCCCGGGCACAAAATTGTTTGGGGGTGCAAAATTTCAACACCCAGTGCTGCCTCAATACAACTGTATGCTTCCTGGGCTCTGTTGAAAATGGCTTTTCCAGGAAGTGACCTCTCCTGACAACAGAGTGACTCTTCTTATCTCTGCAGCTGCAATCTCCATTAGGCTGTTGAATGTGCATGCTTACAGTTTCCCTCCCTCTCACACCCCCATCCACGTGGCCCCGGGCATTGGAAACCCAAGCTATGCCACTGGATTCCGAGGCACTTACTGGGGTGCATTCTCCATTTGAGGGACCTACCAGACTTTCTGGGGCTACAAAGAGGGCAACCTAAAGCAAACCCACCGTTCTCCATGACCTGTGCATTTTGGTTGAAGATTGGTTATATTCACAACAAAGCTTTACCAAGAAGGAATGAGGGAATTGTCATCACATGCCGACATTTCCTTCTTTTTACATGATCACAGATTCCTTTGAAATTACTCCACAGTTGTCAAACTCCTGACTCAAAAACTAGCTTCACAACAGAGGTTAATACAGAGAAGATTATTTTTTTTTTACAGCAGACAAAAGTTGTACCAGAATACTGAAAAAGAAATCCTTTTTTGACCAGGTAAAGACCCTAAACCCTAGCTACCGAGACACAGAGAATCAGGGTGGGGGGAGGAGAGTATCAAAAATAACAGTAAAGTTTATGAAAAATCTTTGCAAGGCTTGTGATCTTCAAGTCATCAAAAAGCACCTGCAGGTTGAGCTTTTCAGTATAAGAAACGGTCCAATTTCTCCCACTTCTTGACAATCCCTCTGTACATTTTTAATGGACCTAAAATGTGCTCAAAAGTGTTTTCTGTTCACTCTGTAATAGGCAGTCGCTGATGTAAACACAATCCATTAAGAAAAGATACCGCCACTCTCAGCAGCCCAGCACACTGTTTCAAGTTTCTTTCCCCCACGAAGTCCTTTTATATTGTCTCTATAAATGTACATGACAGCACTGACAGATACAGACAGTCCTAGGCTATTACGAAGGACGCTGAAGAAGACCCCCACACAATACCACTGAACCGTGAAATATCAAACCAAAACATCTTATGTATCCATTACAACTTTTCAAAATTGCATTTCTGTTGAAATGACAGCTTGGGGCTACATGCCATCTGGCAAAAATCCAAAGGTTACAAGAAGCCGTTTCCCCCCATAGCACCTTTGACTACTTCTCCTAGGCAACGACCCCATTCACACTTACTGTATTTTTCAGTGTATAAGGCAATGCTTTTTGCTAAATTTTGTTAGTCAAAAATTGGGGGTCATCTAATACATGGAACAATACGGTATTTCCTTGATCTGCCCACGGCTGCCGTGAAAGCTTCTGCTTCAACTCAGCAGGCAGCATTGGTGTCCTGCAGAAAGCTGAACAACTTTGAGTAACTTCTTAAGTTCTTAGTTATGGATTAAAAAAAAATAGAGGTCATCTTATACATGGAAAAATACGGTACTTATGAGAAAAGATGGCAGAAATTAGCAGGGTTTGCTTAAAATAACCCCATGCCTAGGACTGATTTGGTACTAAGAATTGCCTTCGGTGACAATTTCTTGGCTCTGATATTAAATTTGATTGGCTTTGATTAAATTTGACAAGTTAAATTTAATTAAAATGCAACTGTTGTTCACCTTGGGATACTCAGGTCTAGATAATGCCATACTGAATCTAGCATAGATTTAAGCCTCTCTCTTCTTAAACCAGCAGGCTCTGTAATCATTTTCTCTAGAGACAAATACAACTCAGTTACTTAGACATCGGTAGCATATCTTAACATCTCTAAAGGATTTTCAGTAAACCAGAAGCATGGGATATGTAGACTTGTCACTTAAGACCGATTCTCATAACTCCCACTGAAAGTTTCAAACTATCTTAGGTCACAGAGAAACCTTAAAGGTGGCTCTGCAGCCAAATCCAGGAGTCAAAGATGCAATTCATTCCGTTTCAAGTCGCCATTGGTTGGAAAATTGCTGAAGCCACAACAGCTCAATTTAACATGGATCAAAGCAAGAAAGTGATTATATGCTGTTGTCGTTTAGTCGTGTCCGACTCTTCGTGACCCCATGGACCAGAGCACGACAGACACTCCTGTCTTCCACTGCCTCCCGCAGTTTGGTCAAACTCATGCTGGTAGCTTCGAGAACACTGTCCAACCATCTCATCTTCTGTCGTCCCCTTCTCCTTGTGCCCTCCATCTTTCCCAACATCAGGGTCTTTTCTTCTCTTGAGGTGGCCAAAATATTGGAGCCTCAGCTTCATGATCTGTCCTTCCAGTGAGCACTCAGGGCTGATTTCCTTAAAAATGGATAGGTTTGATCTTCTTGCAGTCCATGGGACTCTCAAGAGTCTCCTCCAGCACCATAATTCAAAAGCTTCGATTCTTCGGCAATCAGCTTTCTTTATGGTCCAGCTCTCACTTCTATACATCACTACTGGGAAAACCATGGTTTTAACTATACGGACCTTTGTTGACAAGGTGATGTCCCTGCTTTTTAAGATGCTGTCTAGGTTTGTTATATACGCTTCAGGTTACAGACTCCGCTAATCCAGAAATAGTACCTCGGGTTAAGAACTTTGCTTCAGGATGAGAACAGAAATCGTGCTCCAGTGGCACGGCGGCAGCGGGAAGCCCCATTAGCTAAAGTGGTGCTTCAGGTTAAAAACAGTTTCAGGTTAAGAACGGACCTCCGGAATGAATTAAGTACTTAACCCGAGGTACCACTATTTATTGTACCTATGTATTAAGCAGAAAGTCTGTAAAAACTCAATTACAAACCTTAAACTAGAAATTTTCTCATTTCTACAAGGCAGACAAAATGTTTCCCGTTAAATAAATCAGATTCCAAAGTATTTTAATTATGAAAACTTAACTAAGTCTCCCCTAACAATAATGTCCGTAAGAAATCTTTCAGTGAAATTCCTTTTTTCTTGATTACTTTATCAACACGTTCAATGCACCCAGTGGTTTGTCCCAACCCTCAGCGCTTGCATCTACTTTCTGGTACGCTTACTTCAAACACAAGCAGTTGCCCCCGCAAGGTCACACAAAGTGAAGAGAGATTAGTGTGTCTTTTCTGATAAAATCCAATGCCTTGGTTTAGGATTAGCGTGCTAATGCTAATTTAAAAACCTGAGAGGGCTGGCAGAGGAGAGCAGAACTCTGAGGGAAGGGGAAGCTTTTTAAAATAAGAAGAGAAATGGGAATATCACATTATTAAAGAAGCATTTTCCAGCAAATATTAATATTGTTCATTTGTCACATGAGTCAGAAATACTGGTTTTGGGCTAGCAGAACATGCTTATTCTCACAGAAGGCTGGGCATCTCCTGAATCAGGGGAGACTATCATCATCATCATCATCATCATCTGTACACCTCCCTATTCCTGTAGATCTCAGGATGGCTCATAACATTAAAAAGATGCAGGAACTAGGGAGAGAGCCTGTTTGGGATAGTTTGTGTCCCCCTGAAGGAACAGGAATGTAGCCTGAGGATCTAATAGGCCAGGGATGTCCAACAGGTCAATTGCGATCTACTGGTAGATCCCCATGAGGTTTTGGGAGATCGTGGTCGATCGCTGGGTCCCTTTCCTTAGCATTGGTAAAATCGAATCTTGCCCTGCCCTCCATTGTAACATGATTTGTAGAACGGAAGATGGAGTTTACTCAGTGAGGCTGTTTCCCCAGCCTTAAAAATGGGGCGTCCGCAGGCTCCGCACTGTCCCAAATGGTCTGCTCACCGCCTCCCTCTCAGCTGTAGGGTGGCTGAGTGGGAAGAGGCAGGCAGACTCCTCGGAGGCCCCATGAAGCCGCCCAATTGGCTTGCTCCGCTGCTGAATAGTACCCTTCTAGTTTGCCCTGACCAGACCCCACCTGGAGTCCTGTGCTCAGTTATGGGCACCACGATTTAAGGATGACCAAAAAACGGGGGTAGATCACTGCCAGTTTCTAATTCTGTAAGTAGATCACAGTCTCTTGGTAGTTGGCCACCCCTGTAATAATAATAATAATAATAATTTATTATTTATACCCCGCCCATCTGGCTGGGCCTCCCTGTAATGGGCAATCAGTGCAGTTCTATCAACACCAGTGTAATATGTGCACTTCTCACAAATGTCTCATAAAGCATCCTAGCAGCTGCATTTTGCACTAGCTACAGCTTCCAAACCAGATACAAGGGTAGCCCACATACAGTGCATTACAGTAGTCTGTAATCATGCACACACATTATAGCAGGAACTTAGAGAAGCAGAAAAACCTCTTCTTAGGTAGTGGACCACACTGTTTACTTTTTTAAAAAAATGCTCTCTGATTAATATTTTTTATTATTTATCCATGAAAATTTCTACACTGCTTGCTTGTAAGAAACAACAACCAACCTTAGAGTGGTTTACAAAAAGATAAAGCAATAAAACTGACAAAAATTCACAACTGTACTTTAAAACATACAAAAGTTTTAAAAGGGACAGTTAAAATACAGTGGAACCTCTATTTGCAACCATAATCCGTTCCAGAGGTCCGTCTGGAAGTCGAAACGGGTCGCTGGAGAGGCGCCATTTGTGCGGCAGGCGCGGGTGGCGATTGCCTGCTCCTGCGCATGCGCAAACGGCGGGCAAACCCACCGGTTACTTCTGGGTTTGCTGCGGTCGTGACTTGCAACAACTGTTAAGAAGAGGCAGTGGTAAGTAGAGGTTCGACTGTACTAAGACAGTATTATACCCCTCTATAATACTGAGCAGAAATAGAAACAGCACTGTTGTTGTTGTTTTGCCTTACCATTAGTCTCTGCAAAATTCTGAACCTCAGCCAGGGTTTTCAATTCCTTCCGTGGACATGCTGATACGCAAAGAGCGATGGACTTGATCTTCCGTTTCACCAGATCTACATTGCATGGCTCCAAAAAGAACACGTACCTTTAGGGAAACACACACACCAAAACATTCAGAATGGATCAAAAACAGACTAAAAAAGGATTTCTGTCTAGAGATATCCTACCAGTAAGGAAACTCCCAAATCGCTAAACAAACTTTCTTCATTTAAAACTTTCCCTTTCAGAAGTACACTGTTCACCCAGAATTTAGTAGTGGCTCCCCCCACACTTTTCCTTTTGAAATGGCAATAAAATTTTCATAAGATGGAGTGGAGCCCTTCACAAAGATGGATGCATGTCTGGCTATATAAAAGGCAAAGAGATAATATATGGAAATAAGGCACTGTTGGCAACTTACATCTCATCTGCTAAAGTACACCATTATCTCTCATTCCTCCTTGGGCTCTCAGGGGGCAGTGGGCTGTGTGTGGCATTTCCAGTTACATTTTAAAGGAACATCATACTTTAAAAGTTTATTTCAGGGCGTACCTATAGGATATTCAGCAACAAAATCTGGCAGCCAAACAACACCTGAAGCTGACCATAATTATTTCCTAAATGCTTTTCGTTTTTCTGAGAATGGACTCAGCGAGTGCCAAGTTTAGAGAATGATTCACCAGATACTGTAGCAGGGAAGCTTGAAATGTGATACAGAAAAGTAGCAACTTGCTGCAATCGATTGTTCACAGTTACAGATTGATCTCTAGCACATTAAAGTGGTGCCGTCACACACAGCTCCATCTATCCTTTGTAATTGAAGTCACAATGTAAGCACTGAGTGTTTACTCCACACTGATGTCTTCGGGATGATCCCGGCCAGCCCACCTCACCGCCCCCCCCCCCCCGGTTAAATACCAAGCAAAAGTCAATTAGTAAAATTATATTGGTAACTTGAAAGCAAAACAGAGATCCCAATGTGTTCCGATGGGTAAGCATTACGGAAAACAGCTTCTTATTTTAAATAGATTTTCCACATGACTGGTTTGTAATTCAATGGGCAACTTCAGCACATTTTTTGGAAAGATAACTTCGGGTACCTGATTCACACACCCCCCCGACAATAGCTTAAAATAACTTATCTTAGAGAACTGTGTGATTTCCGTCGTTTAACAAGTTTTGTGAAACCAGCAGTAAGTGCCAGAACCCAATGTCAACTGGAATTCATTTGGATCTATAAAATAATGCATGTACTTTCCTCGAGAGAATAAATATGCACTGATAAAAGCTTGTAAACAAAGGCAGAATCTGTGTGTGCACTTTTTTTAAAAAAAAAATCATCAGAAGTGTGTTATCATTAGAATATATGGTTTTATTCACACATATATACAACCTGGGCATAGGATGGAAGGACTTAGAGCATCAACACTCCAACAGATTTTGGCTCCCTTTGGTTTCCAGGGAGGCCTCTGAACCCTGAGAAAGTCAAGCTTCCCTGTCTCCTTTTTTTTGTTTCCAGGTTCAGCTACACTCATTCCTGGCCTATTGTTCTCCTTCCTAGGATGAGTGGCACCTAGCCAGCTGAGGTGAGAAAAGGCACACGTACCGCTCTCCCGGAAGCATCTCCAGTTGTCTCTATGGAAACACATTTGTTCTGCACCAACTTCTTTACACGTGCAGAGAAGATGCTTAACAGATTTGGCCAGAGCCAAATGATCTTGAATTCCCTCTGCTACTATCACAGGCTCGGTTGGGATCCAAGGGGCATTATCTAAACCAGAGGGGGCCAATGTGCAGCCCTTGAGGACTTCTTTGGTGGCCTTCAGCAGCATCTGACACCCACCCACACTTACATCCTGCAGCCCTCATGCTGATTTCCCAAAGCCAGGTAAGCGAGGTGCTAGGCTTTGGGAAGGAGGCGTGAAGGCTCTGAGAGGGTCCTAGAGTCCTCCCAGCTTCTTCCCAATGTCTAGTTAGCACTTTCGCAGCATTGGGAAGGAGGTGGGAGGGCTCTAGGACCTCGTCACAGCCTCACACCTCCTTCCGAAAGCCCCAGAGCAGGCATCCCCAAACTCAACCCTCCAGCTGTTTTGGGACTACAACTCCCATCCTCCCTAGCTAACAGGACCAGTGGTCAGGGATTATGGGAATTGTAGTCCCAAAACAGATAGAGAGCCGGGTTTGGGGATGCCTTCCCCAGAGCCTCGCTTAGACAGCTTTGGGAAGGTAGCATGAGGGCCAGGGAGGGGATGTCAATTTTGGGCCTTCATTACCTGCACCGCTGCAATGTGTAGCCCATGGGTTCCATGTCAAAGTGGCCCACTTGGTATGCAAAGTTGAACCGCCTTGTTAAACCAACCCCCAGTCCTATATCACTGCACCTGATCATTTATTTTCTTTACCACTGTAGTATCTGTCCCACGGTGCATATTCCCCAACCAATCAACAGCCTGCACATTTGAGTGCAGAGGTTTCCTTTTAAAGCACAAATTTACTGTGCAGCATTTCGTTAAATATGGACAAGGCTAACCAAGATTTGGGGAAAGAGTTATTTAGCTCCTTCACTAGTATTACGGTCATGCTACTGGGAAAGGATGCCTTATGCGCATACAAATCAGGAATCAAAAACTTTTCCACATTAACGATTTAAGAGCTTGCCTATTTTAAGTCGGGAGCACGACTGCAGTGACCAAGTCCGTCTTGAATCTGATCTTTAAGGTACATGCTCCCTAGGTTTTCCGATTTCATTGATTTCCTGCAATTCCTCTAGACAGCTCTATACTGTCAAACGAGCATAGCGCAGAAACACCAAACAGTATGCTCGATTAGAGTCTCAGGACAATTCCAGAGGCAAGCGTGGTCATATAACGGCTGCTTTGCACGCATCGCTAAGCCTTGATTTAGCATTACGCAGACAAGTCTCAGTCAGCATGAGTGAAGTGTGGGGCCTGCATGCGTCTCCTCTTCTCTCCTTCTGCATGGACAGGAAAAGGTCTTCTGGGGAGTTACTTTCGCAGAATCTTGGCTTAGTGTTATCTGCAAACCAGGAATCCTGGTTGAAAACAAACACTAGTTAGCTGCTAAAGAAGCCAATTTTAAACCACAGGTTTAATAGCTTGCTTTCTTTAGCAGTTAACCACAGTTCCTTTTAAATTGGGATTCTTGGTTTGCATGTAAAACTGAGCCAAGATTCTTTGAAACTGAAAGTAAACTTGGCAAAACCAAGTTTTTAAACCACCAGGCTAAAAAAATTGCTCATATGGGACCATACTGTTAGATAAGAGGGGGTTGAAGCTGAAAAAACAGGACTGTTGCCTAAAGCCACTTGATAGCTTTGAACGGGGATTTTCCTAGCTCACAAGCCATCCATGACACTCGTTGCCTCTGTGTTACACTAGCTCTCCTGGAAACAAATTGCATATCAGTTTCTCATATTCTAGGGTATCTGAAGGGATGAGGAAGGCAATAGGGAACAGTCATTATGATCTCCCAGGGTACTGGAAGAGGAGATTGTCCAAAGCAGCCTTGCCTTAAATGATGCTCTTCAGATGTTGGAGTCCAATCCCCATCATCACCTACCAGCCTGGAATGATGGGAGCTGTAGTTCAAAAACATCTGGAAGGCGCTCGGTTGGTCCAAGGTATGGGGAGTTGATCCAAGGGGGTGGGTCATGTTGTTGTTTAGTCGTGTCCGACTCTTCGTGACCCCATGGACCAGAGCACGCCAGGCACGTCTGTCTTTCACTGCCTCCCGCAGTTTGGTCAAACTCATGCTGGTAGCTTCAAGAACACTATCCAACCATCTTGTACTCTGTCGTCCCCTTCTCCTTGTGCCCTCCATCTTTCCCAACATCAGGGTCTTTTCCAGGGAGTCTTCTCTTCTCATGAGGTGGCCAAAGTATTGGAGCCTCAGCTTCACGATCTGTCCTTCCAGTGAGCACTCAGATTTCCTTAAGAATGGAGAGGTTTGATCTTCTTGCAGTCCATGGGACTCTCAAGAGTCTCCTCCAGCACCATAATTCAAAAGCATCAATTCTTCGGCGATCAGCCTTCTTTATGGTCCAGCTCTCACTTCCATACATCACTGCTGGGAAAACCATGGCTTTTACTATACGGACCTTTTTTGGCAAGGTGATGTCTCTACTTTTTAAGATGCTGGGTGGGTTCTCAGGCAGAAACCTTTTTCGTTTATTTTTTAGAAGGAAAATAAGCTTTCTGTGTTTCAAATTCACTAGACGTTCGGAATCATTACATTTTCTGAAATGGAAAAATTCTACCCATCAAACTATTTTACATCCAGGGATAGTGGGAAGCAAGTCAAGAAACTCACAAAAAAAGTTGTGGCCTTTTTACTGCCTGTCTTCAGTTACACATAATGTTTCCATCTCTTTAAGAAATAAGCATTTTTCACATTCTGCCTTATATGGATGGGAAAGATGACATTTTAAAAAACAGATTTTTAATAAACATTTGGACCAAAAAAGGAAGAATATGAAAAAAAAATTGTACAATAAAAATCTTGCAATAAAACCATCTGCTACGTCAGCTGCTGAGCAGATGGAGAACTTTTTGTGGCAATCTTAAGGAAATATATAGTGTATTAATTGCTAGTACTGTTTTATGGAGCACATTTTATTTCCTATAGGCCAAAAGGTTGTGTGTTCCATGGAAAGATGATGACTGATATAAAGCATAAATAATTTGGTAAGAAGTGACTAGTACTTGTCTTTTGAGATGGGTCCCTGAATATAAATTAAACAAGCTCAGAGTAGAGAGCCTCTAGTCCACAAGCAGAAAGTGACCCTGCAGATTTCTCCTGGTACTCACCCCAGGCCACACCCGTCTCCCCAGTTCACATCCCCAGGCCACACCCCATTCCGCCCGGACACTGAGGTCCAGCGCCAAGGGCCTTCTGGCGGTTCCCTCGCTGCGAGAAGCCAAGTTACAGGGAACCAGACAGAGGGCCTTCTCAGTAGTGGCACCCGCCCTGTGGAACGCCCTCCCACCAGATGTCAAAGAGAACAACTACCAAACTTTTAGAAGACATCTAAAGGCAGCCTGCTTAGGGAAGCTTTTAATGTTTAATAGGTTATTGTATTTTTGTGTTTTGTTGGAAGCTGCCCAGAGTGGCTGGGGAAACTCAGCCAGATGGGTGGGGTATAAATAATAAATTATTATTATTATTATTATTATTATTCTCAGGCCACGCCCCCTCAAAAGCCCTGATCTGTGTCCCCCTCGGGTGCTTTTGTGTCAATAAACTGGGATAATGTCTCCTGCTTACCTGCACCTGCTGAGTGGGGTACACAGAAACCTCTGGCTTTTGCATAGCTGGAAGGTAGCCTACAGTACAAAGGTAAGACTCGCATCTGTTGCTCTCCCCGTGTCCGGCTACAGCCAGCGGTGGAGCTAGCCACTTGGATACCCAGAGCAGCCAGATGCCGTGCACTTGGGGGCGGGGCGATCTGCCCGGGGGGTGCGCGATGAGCGCGGCAGTGATCCACCCTGGGGGGATTTTGTCACCCCCCCCCAGGGATGACACCTGGGGTGAACTGCCCCCACCTTGATCCGCCACTGGTTGTGACTCCACCCACCACTGGCAATAAGCTCCGGGAAGGCTGTTCATAGGGGAATGAGACCCTCAGGGTGAAAAAATGTCCCAATCTATACTATCTAAGTCTCTTTTCTTAATCTCTGTCTGGGGTTCGCTGTGTGCTTTCCTTGGGGAGAAATTCTGGGAGGCTGCAAACTAGAAAGTTCAAGCGCCTCAGACCATGAAAACCCTATTTTGTTAGCCTGAAGACAGAGCCAAGAATCAGGTTCTTTGTAGCTTTTCAAAAAGTGGTAGTTTTTATTACTTCTGCACCGTTTGCTCCCTGTGTCTCGCTTTCAACATCTGAACTGCACACAGGGGAAAAGTCAGCGTAGCCATATTGTCACTGCACTAAAACGTGACTGAAGTCAAAAAGGGGTTGAATTCTGTTACCACACATTATGCCACAACGAAAGGTAGCGCAAGAAGAAATTTCACAAAGTCATAGAGACAAATCTTGTTTCTTCCAAGCGTCATTGCTTTCTGCGTCAATGCCTGCATGGCTTCTATCAAATTTCATTTTCTCGTTCACTGAATATATATTTTGCTTTTCAAAGGACTCTGAATTTTAGAGAAAGGAGGAAAGCCAAAAGACATGCCTAATAATGGAAACTGATAGAATCCAACTGAATTATAACCTATCTTTACCGTATATTGCATCCACACCTTTGGCCTTCCCCATTATGATGCTGCTGCTGCTCCCTTATTCTTCTCATTTTGGGTGACTTTTGTCCAGCTAACAATGGCAAGCAGTTACAGAACTAAACAGGAAGGTACCATAGCATGGTTCTCTTTGACTGAAATTAGTGCTGTCTCCGTGTGTCCAGCAGTATATATCCTTGTTACTTTACAGCATATCCAGAGCTAAAGTCCTGTATATGCACACACTCTCAGTTCTAGTAATTGGCCTAGGTCCAATGCCTATCCCTGTTCCTTTGCAGCACCTCTGTTGTTTGATTTTCAATAGAATGTCCTTCACATTTGCAATGGAAAGGACTTAGGTCGTTCTTAAGTATTGATCCTCAAAGGTCCACATACATACACTTCAGATATCCCAGAGCCCTTTAAATGTTCCTGAGCTACATAAACTCTGCCTTGCATCACATGACCCTGAAAATATATCCCAAAGCTCCCATAATACTAAAACATCTAAGGGCTTTTCTACAGCACAAGCTCAAGCTGATTTGTTGTTGTTTAGTCATGTCCGACTCTTCGTGACCCCATGGACCAGAGCACGCCAGGCACTCCTGTCTTCCACTGCCTCCCGCAGTTTGGTCAAACTCATGCTGGTAGCTTCGAGAACAAGCTGATTAATGGTCATTATCTATCCTCACTGAACTGTAGTCAGGTAAGAAACAGAGAATTCACTGCACTTTCAGCAGTGATGTGGGTCTTCCAGAAAAGCTTGAATTAGAAAAGTTGCCTTTAGGTACTTTGCATCAGAAAATGTTCAGTTTGGTTATATTGTCTAAACACCAAATCAGTTATTGCATATGTTACTATTATGAAAAGTCATTTTTTTGTTTTACAGCTCTTATTTTAGAACAGTGTTGTTTATTGTTCACATTGCTCAATTATTTTAAAATGGGGATATGTTCAATTTGCATCAGAAAATTTTTGTGATGTCCAAGAGAGTAATCTGATTTAGCATGTTTATTCTACATATATTTAGTAAAACCAAAGCCTTTGAAACTGACTTCCTTAATATCACATATGCAACTGGTATCCATTCACTGTTACCAATGAACTTATGAACTTCACTGTTCATTCACCATTCACTGTTACTAATGAACTAATGAACTTCAAAGAAACATTTCAACCCCATGTCACTACTTCACAGAAAACAATTCCTTTGGCGAAGACTAAACTATCACTAATATAAGTGCTAAAATAGTGTGTAGCGTATATATTCATATGAATTCTCCACAACAGAAGAGAATTACAAAAACATAATTTTGTAAGTAGTTCAGGAAACCCTGGAGAGGTACTAAGAACTCAGCACTATCTAAACACAGAGAAGCATCAAAGGGATTCTAACTTGAAATTTCGGAGTACAGTGGTGCCTCGCAAGACGAAATTAATCCGTTCCGCGAGTCTCTTCGTCTTGCGGTTTTTTCGTCTTGCGAAGCACGGCTATTAGCGGCTTAGCAGCTATTAACGGCTTAGCAGCTTAGCGGCTATTAACGGCTTAGCGGCTATTAATGGCTTAGCAGCTTTAAGAAAAAGGAAACAAACTCGCAAGAACTCGCAAGACGTTTCGTCTTGCGAAGCAAGCCCATAGGGAAATTCGTCTTGCGGAACGACTAAAAAAACGGAAAACCCTTTCGTCTAGCGAGTTTTTCGTCTTGCGAGGCATTCATCTTGCGGGGCACCACTGTACGTGGTTCACAGCTATGAAAGCCAAGAACACATTAAGGATGCACAAGTACCCAGGTACAAGAAGTGTTCATGAGAAAGTGATCACTTGACATAAAGCTATGGTGTCCACACTTAGAGTAAGAAATGCATTAATGTTCTCCCTAATCTTGCCACCCACAGCCAAAATGAAAGAAAACTATATTCCACCAGTTAATGAAACAACTGTAGCAGTAATTGGAGCCCATTACTCACTTCTTTTTTGTGAGGTCTAAGCCACTGTTGTCTATTCCATCTATTTTTATATTCTTCTGTCCACAGATATTTCCGTAACTATCATATCCTGAAACCAATCTTGCAGCTGCTCCGGTAGCTATTGAAAAGCCACAAATAAGACCCTGGGAAGAAATGAGATGAGAACGAAAGCTTTCCATGGCAAACTGTATTAAAAAAGACCACTCTTTTTAACAGCAGCTTTCTGCTATGTTCCCCACAAAGATATATAAAACAAAAATTACTCCTATCTCGCTTTCATACGTATTTCAGGATCTTTTAAAAAGGAAAAGTGCCCCCCCAAAAAAACTCTGTAGCATCATGCGAAGTATGAATATATACCAGTTACATAAAGGCGGTCAAATTAAAACTCTGTGGAGAGAGAGAGGGAGAGAGAGGGAGAGAGAGAATCTGATGCATAAGAAATCTAGATGCATCTTGCTCTGAGTTGTCACAAACTTCCTAAAATAGGTTTGTGAACTGCATGAGTTTTTAAAACAGGGCTGCTTTCAGAAGTTCAGGTAATGGTGGAGACCAACAGTACACATTATAAGTCATATATAATATGGCTGGCTGTGACCCTTCCTTTCGGATAAACATCTTGCACTAGTGGTACCCATGCCCTAGGGATTTTCAGGCTGGGCTACTGGCACATGATATAGGGCTGACCCATTGAACTCTGTATGAGGCTAAGCCCCTGAAGGTACTACAGAAGCAGCAGCTAGTGCAGAATGCAGCTGCTGGCCTATTGACAGGTACAACAGGTAGAGAAATTGTGTTATGCCGATCCTCAGCAGTTGCTGCCATTTAGCTTCTTGGTGCAATTCAAAGTGCTGGGGATCGTACTTAAACCTCTTAACACTTTACATGCCTTGAGGGGGACCACCTCACAACTGGAAAGACTCTGTTCCATGTGCCTTCTATTAAAGGTAAAGGTAAAGGGACCCCTGACCATTAGGTCCAGTCGTGACCGACTCTGGGGTTGCGGCGCTCATCGCACTTTATTGGCCGAGGGAGCCGGCGTACAGCTTCCGGGTCATGTGGCCAGCATGACTAAGCCACTTCTGGCGAACCAGAGCAGTGCACGGAAACACCATTTACCTTCCTGCCAGAGCGGTACCTATTTATCTACTAGCACTTGATGTGCTTTCAAACTGCTAGGTTGGCAGGAGCAGGGACCGAGCAATGGGAGCTCACCCCGTTGCGAGGATTCGAACCGCCGACCTTCTGATCGGCAAGTCCTAGGCTCTGTGGTTTAACCCACAGTGCCACCTGCATCCCAGCCTTCTATTAGGAAGGAAAAAATTAAGAGCGCTGAAAAGGAGTTTCCTCTGAGCCAGTGTTCCCCCAAACCTGGGTCTCCAGATGTTTTTGGACTACAACTCCCATCATCCCTAGCCATAGCTGTCAAATTTTCCCTTTTCTTGCAAGGAATCCTATTCGGAATAAGGGAATTTCCCTTAAAAAAGGGAAACTTTGACAGCTATGTCCCTAGCTAGGAGGACCAATGGTCAGGAATGATGGGAAATGTAGTAAAAAACCCCAAACAGCTGGAGACCTAGGTTTGGGAAACACTGTTCTATGTGATCACACGAGAACAACTGAAAAGTCTCTAGGACTCATCTGGAAATATGCTTGCACTGCTTTTGGGTGGAATCTAGCAGAATGCTAAGGCACAAGGATTTCCACTTGCACAATGGAACATTGTCCCCCAACTACTGCCCCTGCATGCCCCAAAATTCTGTTCTTGGAAATTCTGTTCCCTCAATGCTCTGGAGCAGATTTGGGAAGCCTGCAGGGCACAAATGGGGAGAGGAAGAAATTCTTGCACTGACAAGTGAATACCATAGTGTATTCCCCCAGGCTTTTAGTATTCAAGTGTTAACTTTGGCATGATGGTAAGGAAAGGGCAATTGTATTGCAAAGGTGCTGGATGTAGTACTTAATTTCAGTATGTGGTTTTAATCTTGTATTTTAATGTATGCAACTGCCTTAAGGTCTTAAAGAAAGGCAGTCAAAAAGTTCTGAAAAACAAAAGCAAATTGTAGTTCAATGAAAGGTTGAGAATTTTTTTAAAAAAAATAATTGTTGGTGCCAGCATGTTTTAAAGCAGTGTTCAGATAAGTAGGTCAGCATTCTACAACAAGAGGTGTGTTGGCAGAAGGGGAACTGTTGTGTAATTTCTAATGCACAAAATACACTGATCTCAGAGTTGCGCTGAAGCCAGTCACATTAGTATTTTATCACAGCCATTTAACATCACACACAAACACACAGACACAGAACCCTGCACCCTAAATAAAGGTTTCTATAAGGAGTCCCTTAAAAAAAGTCCTGCGCTGATTCCCCTTTAGAGCTGTGTTACTTACCATGCCGACGCAAAAGAGAATGAACAGCAACAGCCATGGGATATCTGTGCAGCTGCGATCCTCCAGGGGCTTCCACTCTCGCTTGGAGCTCTAGTATTTTTGGACGGGACAAGGAGAAAAAGAGGATGGAGAAAAGAGAAAGGTTATGCAAGACTTGTCAGAGTCAGGCTGTTCTGCGCGAAATAAAAAATGCAACTTAAATAATATTCTCAGACACCGAGTCTATCCCTGGTTATTCTACTGCAGACCTCCTGTTGGGTGGGCTCCAACACAGCTAGGCTTCAACGTCCCAGAACAGCTGGAAATTAATTCCTATGCTTTTTATCACTGTCAGGAGCAGCAATAAAACCACCAGCGCAAATAGTTCAACAGCCGGACACTAATTCAGACATGCGTGTGTACCACCTGATAGGAATAAAAAACAGATTGTGAAGCTGTGCTAGAAATTATTTTTTTTACATCTGTTTTTGATCCCTTTTGTGAATCATTTGATCACACGGCATCTGATCATCAACAAAATGTAACTGTCTGTCTGATCTGCAAATGTTCTTTTTACACATGGTACAATAAGCATATCAGTGATCAATCAGCACTGCATTAGTAGTGAAACCCTAATGTATTTATTCTTGTAGAAATAGTCAATGTGAACACAGCCATGGACCTACATCAATTTTCAAACACGTATACATCAATTCTTCGGCATCACATCCTTACCTGAAGATGCATGAAAACTAAGGTCAAGGCTATACCATCATCAAACTCGCATCCTGAAACATGTGACCTGGGCAAGATTTGTGTGCAAGGTAAATACCCTACCATCTCATACACCCTTAGGTGGAACTTCCAATATTTCATCATTGTGCTTTTTAAAAGAGCAGAATTGAATTTGGTGGGAAGTTATCTAGTCAAGGCACTCCAGCCAGAACCTACCAAAAGAGCAAGGGGAAAGAAGGCAGGGATGAAAGACATCGTTTCTGTATCCCTGGCTGGAGCAGAAAATGGGAAACCAGCCTGGTCAATCAAGACATTAGTAATTTCAGCATCCCTCCACAGCCTCTGTACATACAGTAATCTTCTTTACAAGAGGGATAAACAAATAAGCTATTCACAAACTCCTCAGTCTGAACACTACAGGCAGGATTAGCTGCAATAGAGACAAAAAGAGACATACAACTAATAAAAGGAATCGTTTTTTCATTACTGAAGATGAGGACAGGGGTAGCTTTGCAATTTTGGTGAGCAGGAACAAAGGAGGCCAAAGCTTAAAGGGGTGAGATTGAAAACAATCCACACTATTTAGATTGGGCCACTTGATGATTTCATGGTACCTATCTTTAACAGTAAAATGAAATTGAGAAGGTATAATAAGACAATACTCAAACTTTGTCTGAATCTGTGGCAGGTGCTCAGTGAGTGCAAAGCTACTGTTTCTGGTAGCTAGAAATTCTCCATTAAGGCTCATTTAGATTTATAGTCAACTGTATCAGGCTCTAGACAAGTAGCAATATTTCATCCACCATCACAAAGCAAGTGATCATTATGACTGTGCTACAAATGGAGAAACTGAGTTTGTTAGCGACCACACTCCAGACCCAAAGGTCGCACCAACCAGGCATCTTGTTTGAACTGCATTTTAAATTCTTCTGACAACTCAAATGTAGTGTTTCCTCTTTGCTTCCTCCTAAGCAACACTCACACCAAAGTTCTAAACTGTTTCTTAAAACATGCTTCGGGGACATGAGTAAGGGGAGCACTTCAAAGGAACCCCAAATGATAAGCATGTTCAAAATTTGCACATCCAGATCAACTAGCAAAGAGTCAATAGGTGAGCTGGAATTCGAACCCCAGACCCGTTTCAATTAATCACAAGCCCTTTATCCTCCTGCCCAGAGACCTGCTGGCTAACAAGCTCCTTAAGAGGCTTTCATTTTCATGACCACCTGTCTTCTATTTATCCATGCATGCCGTGTGCACATACATCCACACACACACACTTAAAATCCTTTACTAATTGGAGAACCACATGCCAAATGAAAAGTGTGCATGCAGATTATAGCTAAGTTGTCAAGAGGTTTTTATTAAAAACTGACATTTCTTACCCCACATATTTTCCTGACGCTGTTTCTTTATCAGCAGACGCTGCTTGTGCAAGATCCTCTGATCAGCAGGTGCTGACAGAATGGGGGCGAGGAAGGGAGAAGGCAAGTTCCTTCTCCAGTCATGGTGGTAGCTGACAGCGCCAGCGGATGTGTAGTAGAAGGACTAATTTCTCTCTCAGTGTTAAAGAAAGAGGTAGTCCAGCTATCTCCAGGTCTGTGAGAATCAGTAAACATGCAAATCCTACTCCAACCAGTGCATGCTAATTCTTAATATATACTCATCATACAATGCACCTGACAAAACTGGCCTCAATGTGAACTCCAGCAATAGCCTATTACACTAGATTTATGCCGAGTGAACTTCAGCTTGCTCTGCTCTGCTGACTGTACCCCGGGCAATAAGCCACGGCATTTTGCAAAGCAGTTTCAAAAGCATGACTCTGAAAAAGCAAATGCTATTTGATTCATTTTTTCCTCCTTATTCTGTACACAGCCGTTTTATGTTGCCCACGATTCCTCCTGTCCAATTACCAGCTCTGCCACTTATCTTTTTCTAGAAAAAGAGATGCTGGAACTCACCATGAACTCTGCCCCTGTTCTCTTATAATGGCAATGGTGCACACCTGAGAGGTGCCAGAACTGAGTTCCAGTGAGTTCTGGCTGAAAAAAAGCCCTGACTCCACCATTGTTTTCTGCAAGGTGATCCCCTAGCCCCAGTTTTCTTCTGTAACTGCTTAAACAAAATAATTGTAGGTTTTTTCCAGTTTACCCCTATCTCCATTCTGCCCTCTATTGTTTCCCTTGTGTCTATATTTAGATTGTAAGCCCCCCAGAAGAAGGGACTTGTCAAACCTGTTCTTTGTGAAAGTGCAGCCTTTGGGATCAGATCCACTCCACATTTTTTTGTGTTTACAAGATGTGGTGCTGCAATCAGAAAGGCTTCAGGTGGCCTGAGCAGAGGAGACAGGCAGGTGTAGAATTTGTAATACACGGGCAGACCAAGAGGAAAAGAGCAGGTTAAGGTAATAAGACAGGGAAGCAACAAACAGGCAAAACTGAACTAGTTCAAGGAGATCTAAAACTAGCAGAAGTGGAGCAGGGTTGGCTCTTCATCACCTGCCTTGAACATTCAGGAGGATTCTGGCTAGTAATGTCTGCTGCCCAGCTTAAAATGCTGAAGTTCTCTTCACATACTATGGCACAATGGTGCAGGCAATAGGGAACAAGAACATGGTCCACAGGGTTCCTGGCTTCTTGGAACACCATTGCATTTAAGACTGGGCAACTGTCTCAGCCCACATCTTCCATCTACCGTATTTTTCGCTCTATAGGACGCACATTTTCCCCTCCAAAAATTAAGAAGAGGTGTGTGTGCGTCCTATGGAGCAAATGCAGGCTCCTTGGCTTCAGCGATAGCAACGCGAAGCCTCCGAAGCGCAGAGGGAGCGCTCCCTCCGCACTCCGGAGGCTTCGCGTTGCTTTCGCTGAAGCCGGGAGAGCAAGACTCTCCAAACAAACCCTAAGGAAGTGGGAGAACCCAAAACAGCCTAACAGAGTGTGCTCAGTGGGAATGGGAAACTAACTATTGGGTGCAGGTAAGGTGGAAAGCCAGTCAGGAGAAGGGATGGAATAGTGTATCATGGAGAAGGGTGTAGCCAGGGGTGCAAACTTGAATATAATATTCAATGTATGCACACCATTTGAATAGCAATGCCCATCAACTTGGGGTGGGGGGCAGCCCTCTCAAATATTTGATTGGGAGGACCGAAGGGACCTCGACCCCTATGAATTGGCTCCCAAGGGCATAGCTAAGCAGCTCCAACAATGAACATGTCCTCACTGAAACCCCACCTTTTTATAACCCGAGTACTATAGAAGCTTAAGATTTAGGTTTTAGCCATTTTTGAAGCCATCTTCTGCACTATTCTTTGTGTTGAGTGTTGCCACTGTACATTCACTGCTATTCTCTGCATCTGAAGCCATTTAGTTTTCTGAAAAGAAAGAACCTTATGACACCTTACCAGGACGTAAGCTTTCATGGGCTAGCATCCACTTATCATATGCATGAAGTGTAATGCTTGGTTGGCAGGAATATATCCAGATGAGTGTAAGGGGTGTGTGGAATGTGATAGCTGAAGTTAAATGGAAATGAAATGCAAAACTGCGACAGTTCAAGCTGAGCTTAAACATAAGCAAAATAAGCACAGTGACCCTTCACAACAGGAAACTATTGTCTCTGTTGGGATCCCAGTAAAGATAATTGAAATCAAGTTGCAATTCAGCAGTTTCATGATGGGGTTTCCCTTTCATGCTCCTTTTGTTCCGTCAGTAACAATTGCAGTAGGCTTAAATGTCCTGCTACTACTGGTTTCTATTGCCATTTCCAATGTCAGGTTTGTGTCCATTTATTCTTTTCCCCCCAGCCTGGCCAGCTGCAACGAGCACAGCTACCGCCCTGAAAACTGACTGATGTGCAAAGTCTCACAACATTCCTACTAAAAAAAAGGAGTGTTTGGAAATTCATATGGCAATTCCTCCAAAGGAAGAAAGCAATAACAAGAAGGCTTTCCATTCTCTTGTGCATTCCACCTGCAAATGCAATCATGTAATAGGATTTTTTAAAGCCAATGAATGGAAAAGCTGGAAAGGGATTTGGGAGTCCAAGCAATCACTCCCAGTTACCCCTGTGTAATCCGCTTCATTGCTTGGTCCATTGAGAACAGCTCACTTTCAAAGGGGGGGGAAATAGGTGTGGTTCTAACAGGTGGTTGAAAGGTCACATGGATGAATTAAATCCACACCCATGATTTTCACCGTGCGTCACATTAAGTCTTATTGCTACACGCCCCCCTGCACCTGCATGATTAAGACTGCAGATAACCCTGCTAATCCAAGCTATTTAACCACTATTCCCTTTACTCCCCGGGACATCAGAAGCGCTGAAATGAAATCGTGTGTGCAATAAACACAAAAATACTTCCCGGCTTAAAA